ATATATACATATACATATACATATACATATACATATACATATATATATATATATATATATATATATATATATATATATATATATATATATATATGGTTAAAGCTCCTCACACATAAAATAAATTTGATCCATTCATCCTTTGCAAACTAGGCATCCTAAACACAATAAATGTTGTAACTAGAATACTTTCATGAATGTTCACCTACACAATTGTGCTTTTGTTTCAAACTATGAAATTCATTGCTATTTCTTAGGTTAGAATCACTAACCAGAGCCTCTTCATCAAAGACAAATCGTACTCTAGTTGCCTGAAAGGAAAACACAAAAAAATAGATTTTATTAAGTAGTAGGAAGACTAAACGACAACAGTTTCAGGACATAACTAGACTAGAATGAACAGTGTATTGTCAAATGGTCAACTATGCTGTATAACAGCACATTTGACATGTGTAGTTTTGAATTCATTTCTCATAAGATGGCATTCTATGTATGCAAAAATATCTACCTGATGAAATTAGAGTAAAAGGTATGGAATTTAGTCACAAATCTTACCTATAGGTTAAAGGGTATAGGTTAAAGGGTAAGAAATCAACTTTGTGATTATGAAAAGGCAGGTTCAAGTTTGTAGCTATTTTTAGGAAGTCAATGCCAAACAATGTCAGCTGCTATATAAAAACAAGGTAGCCTGAAAAAAATGAAGTGGGCAGCCAAAAAAAATATCTATGTACATGACATGTTTCCATCCAAACTTTTCTACCTGGATGAGTAAAAAGAATCCAAGTAGACCTATCGTAGCTGCTGGTAGTAGATTGTCCTGGTATACAAGTCCACCTGCAATTCCTGTTGCTCAAAATACAAAATCAGTATTAGCACACATTGAAAATTGTGAAACGGCATCTATCATATTACTTTCACACTGGGAGAGGAAACATACATACAAGAGTCATCGATCTACAAAAATGGATTGTGCAGTCCTTTAGCTAAAATTGAACTACGGATTCTGAATTCTTTTCCTTAAAGTAATAATTTCATAAAGTCTAATTACACTTGCTGGAACATCATTTTTATAGCATAAGAACAAATATTTGATGAGGAACATTCTTGGAACTATTAGTTGATATGTGGACTTGAGAATTGAATTGTCATACCTATTTCCAAAAAGAATGAAGCAAGACAACCAACAACCAAATGCCATGATTACTTGGTGAAAGAAGTATGAATCCAAAATCTAAGTTTGCATTAGGCCAAAAAAGGAAAAAACTGTTTCACTTAGGGCTACCAACACTGAATCACTTTAGATGGTGAATGAAATATGTATCAGTCTCAAGTTTAACCTCCACGATATTGCCCTAAACATCCTTCCCTACAATATTATTTGCATACTTTCTATGTTTAACTTTCTAGTATACCACATTTTACATCTAATTCTATCAGTCTCCCTCCATTTTTTTTCCTTCCCATTTAGTTTCTTGTCAACGTATCATATTAATTCTCCTCCTAAACATCATATCTACCAATTCTAGCCTCTTCTCTTAAAGTGTTCCTATATTCCAGATTGCTAGTTTAATTGTATGGTGTTCGACTAGTTTCTTTACTCATACATTCAAGTGCCAACGTGATGGGTCCTTCTTGAGAAGCCTCCTAGTTAACCTTGTGCATTTCAGGGAACCCAATGGAGAAGAGGCCTCATGTTACGTTCAGCTTATGAGCTAGGCTAATTAATGAAAATGAATAAGATCAATGCTCATAAGATCTGACAAAGTCTCATTTTGACCATCTGTGGCCTAATGCAACTTCGCTTCTTTCTTACAGCCTTGATATTGATACGGTATTTCCTCATTATGATGGTCATGTAACACGGACATCTTTGTTATGGATGTTAGCTTGAAGTAGATTCGTAGATATTATATATCATATCAAATAGTAACTTGAAAATATGCACGTTATTAATATATTAACTTCTTGACTGAAAATATGCATGAAAAAATTTGCATTCCATCTTTGAATAGAGAAACACAAAGAGTAATATTTCGATATCCTCTCTAACTGACTAGAAGCATTACCAAGTAACACAACTGGTATTCTATAGTCTGGTTCAGGAATTACAATGTCTCTTTTCTTGGCATTTCTTCCAAGCTGCCAAATGTAGAGAAAAAAAACAATCAAATAGCAGTTCCAAAAAAGACAATGTTACAACACAGACAAAATATTACTGTGTTGCAACATATTTTTACCAAGCTTCATCTTAGTCAATTACAAAAAACTGTGAAGGACTGTCCTAAGGAGTTGATTTGAATTTTCGGGCAATGCACAACATAAATCATCAAAGTGATTTCTAGAGAAATTGTCATATAAATTTCTAAAACCTTGATCTGTTTTTCAATGTCCATAAGAGAATGTATAAATATTTTAACCATTCAGATAAAACAAGATTCATATTCCATCAGACTCGTTTTATGTAGTTCTGTAAAACTATGACTGACAAAACAGTAAAGAATATACAAAAACCGCAGCCCATGTTTCATTATATATCAGGGGTTTACTTTATATATCCTGTTGGATAAAATACTAATGATGATGATCTATTAGAAGTAAACGAATGAAAGGATGATAAACAACACTATATATTTGGAAAAATTATCTTAAGAACCATTGATGCAACAGCAGCAAAACTTCCATGAACGTGGATGGATTTCCTACAAATGAAGCTTTTGTTATACAATCTTGTTCTACAAAATGGATTCTCGGTTTTTGTGCCATATGGTACTGCTTCTCTACCTGCTCAAGCAACAAACACAGAGCTTTGAGAATTAGACTATCAAAAGAAAGCAAGATCGTTATCTGAAATTGCTTCAATATTTTGCTTTAAGAATTACTCAATTCTTGTTTGATTGCATAAGCTAATTTAACTATAAAATAGTGTTTAACCAAACCCATCTAATGTACAACAAGTAATGTATCAAGAAGCTAACTTTGCCAACAACTTTAGTATGATATCATGCTTAGCTATGCATTAGCAGGATTCATTTGATTGCAGAAGGCATGCAGCAGCTAAAAAGAACCAGAGCAACTGAGCATTATACACTTCCAGAGTGTCTGTTGGCAATGAACACTTAAGTAATATGCAATCGATGCATATGATTCATGATTATAAAATGGAAGATCTCTTGAATGTATATCAATTAAATGTGACTTGCATGACTATATATGTATGCCAACTAGTGTATGGTGATATGGACAATAAGTTAGGGGAGAAGGAACCAAGATAAAGTCTGATCAACTAGAAGAAGATGGGAAGAGAATTAATTGGTATTTTCTTCAATTTACAAAACGATTTATCTATATAGATTTGGGATATCATTTGAGATCACAAATAGGAAATTTAATAACACAAAGTTCCATCAACTCAAAGTTGACAAATATGTGCAACTAGATAAGACTTTGAATGTACAACTTCAACTAAACCAGTCATTCTATCTTCAACTTCAAATGACCTGAAACTTACCGGAACACGTTGGTAAATATTTACCAATATAATTACGAAAATGTGAAAATCACAAGACCAATTTGAAAAGACTTAACTTGTTAAAAAGGTTAGTTGACTCAAAGCTACAAGATACATGACTTGACCAAAATCCAAAATCATGTGAGAAATTCAAAATCCTATACATGTAAAGTAAAAGACCTCATAATTGAACACCAACCATGCTTACTAACAAGTTCCTATTTTGCCTATTGCTTCAACCATAGAGAAACGTGCAAGAATATAGTCAGCCTTACACCAGACACCTAAAGGAAAGACAGAGAACACACTTTCCAAGGATAGCAATACATCTGCATTCCTAGATGCTTAACAATAGTAATTTGCAAAACGTTTAAGGATCTTCATGGCATGAAATCAGAAATTCATATCCCAAGATTTCAAAAAAATTGATTAATTCCTCTTTTTATTATTGATTGGATAGTGGACATGAGACGACTAAGATCAGAATTCAACGAAAGTAGCTATGTCAACAACCTTCTGTACGTTCTTGTCATTGGAGAAACTGAGGAGTAACCTTTCGCGGGATTCTTTGTATCCCGCTTCCTGTTAATTAGTGTGGAATTCCTTGGGAGAAACAGAAAAGATCCTACTTATAATCTTCGACCTCTAATGTTTAGCAACTACTCCAAGCCAATAACAAGGACACAAATTTTAACCATCAAGATATCTAAGATCTATCATCAAATTTGAACCAAATCCTTGGGTGGATTATTATAAGGGAAAACGTGCTGAACATCCAGAAAATGAGGTTGGAAAATTCCAACCATTTCATCTTTAGCATTAACGTCATCTCAGCATTAACCTGAAGACAAATTGTGCATGTACGTAAGTCATGTCTAGTAATTGCGAGAAAAGTATCAAGAACCCTAAATCTGCTGAATGTCCAGTCTCATAATCGGAATTGATCCAGAGCTCCACAATTCTTCTAGGCCATGTTCCTCTTCAAAAGATCATGCACACAAGAAACATGGAAAACAGAGGAGCGGAAGTGCTTACTTGGAGGGCGGAGGAGCGGAAGCGATAAGAACACGCTCGCCATAGCCATACTCCCGCCTCTGCTCTCTATGGCTGGCATCGGCCGAGAGGGGCGCTCAAATATCCCTGTAAAATTACTATTTTATCCAAAAACTCGACTGTAACCAATAGCATACTAATTCGACACGTTTCCTACGTACCGGCACCTCCACCTGCAAACTTAGCGGTGGAGACTCGGACCCACATTTTACTCGTCATCCAATCCAATCAGAAGGAAGGTTTCCGGGCGAGTACAAAATCAGTAGGTAGCAAAAGTTTTTAACCGAGAGCATGCGTAACTCTCACATCGTCGACGCGGCTCTACCACCTGCAAACGTATCGGTGGAGACATGGACCCCAGGTATCATCCCTCATCAAAATCAATCAAAAGGATGGTATGTTTCGAGTAGAAGACAGCAGGTAGATAAAGTTTCTGGGTGAACATAACGGCGGAGACAACAAGAGGGCACATCCGTCAACTCGACTTCGGTAGTGATGGCAGCAATGTGAAATGAACCAACGGCCAGCCTCATTGATTGCCGCCGCCAAATTGATGGTCCAGTTCGCCGCCGCCGCCGCCGCCGCCGCCATGGCGAGCTTCGCGTGCTTCATCATCACAGTGAGCCTGTAAATTCGCCATCGAAGCCTTCTATTTCCCCTTGTAATCTTTGCCCGTAATCCACTCTCTCCTTCCCAAGCCCTCACTGTCGCGGTAGTCCTTAAGTTCCCGATCTCTCGATGTCAAGATGAGCGCCTTTTGCTGGAGCCGCTTGTAATGCTTCGGGTTTCTTCCTTAACAGCAGCCGCATAGCATCATCTCTGCCGATTGTGATGGAAAAGGTGAGCGTCTGTTCCAGGATTTCCTTTTTATTTTATAGTGGATGTACTATTTCTCCCAAAACCTCCTTTTTTTTCTAGAGATGAAACTTGATGATGTAATTGAATATTGGAGTGATGATGAGTACGATGTCATTGAAGTTTGATTGTTCTCATGTTCTACTGTTTACTATATAAAGAAGAAAATGAATCACACAGTTGTAGTCAACTGTATTAAATTTCTGATTGATGAACAATGAATGCCTTGTGGAGTAGACATACAATTTCATCCTTTTTCCAGGGAAACAAGAACAGACAGGAAAAGCTAACCAAATTTGGAACAGAGACGAGAAAAGCAGAGAGCATTGGCTGTGTCGATGGTTTGCAGCTTCATGAGTTTGATACGGTTTCAGAGCACCATATTTTTCTACTCGGCATCGATTGCAATGGCCTTCTTGGTCTTCTTGTCGTCAAGATAGTGGTGGTAAATGTAAGAAACAAAGCCCCAGATCGCGATCAGCATGGCTATAATCTTCACTCCCTCCATCTTATCATGGAAGAACACCACAGCAAATATGGGCACCAGCGGCAGAGCCAGGGTGCTCACCGCGTTGGAGAAGAGAGAGGACACCACAAACACCAAGCCCACCACCCCAACGGAGGACACCTGCCACGCCACCGCCGTCCAAACCAGCGTCATCAGGTAGGACACCTTCCCCTTCCCGTACACCTCCATCTCCCCATGCAGCCCCGACGACTCCCCGCTGGCGAACAGCCCGACCACGGAGGCGATGGTCGCCACGAACGACGTGCATATCTGTATCCACAGCACCACCGAGAAGGTCTCCGTCTTGAGGACCTTTTGGAAGGCGAGCTGCAACAGGCAGAGGGCGAGCGAGTACGTCGCGGACGCGCCAAGCGTCAGCACGAACCCCAGCGGGTACTTCCCCTTGGGGACGTTGGCGGAGTCCTCGGAATCGGATTGGGATCCCAAGAGGGCCGCGGAGAAGGACAGGAGCACGACGGAGTTGAGGATCGGGGAGGTGAACTTCTGGGAGTTTATGAAGTAGGCGAAGACCACGTTGAAAGCCAGCTGAGTAGCGCAGACGAGCGAGTAGGTTGACACAGGCAGGTACAGGAGGCCGTAGGAGTACATCAGGTTGTCTCCTGCAATGATGAGACCCAAGCAGATGCATATGACGGCAACCTTGACGATGGAGGGCCGGGCGACGGTGGCGGTGGAAGCAGGCGGAGAGGGGTAGAGGAGTAAAGGAATGAAGAGAACCGGGAAGCCGGCGGATTGAACGACGGTGGCCATCCATTTGCTGTTGCCACCTTCGTTGTAGTAGAGCCTTCCCAGCAGCACGCCCACGGTTTGGCCGGCGAGGAGGAAGCAGATGTTAAGGGCCACCATGAGCCACCATCGCCAGTGTCTGAGCTTCGAAGGTGGTGGTGGTGTCTCATTACTGGGAATCGAGTCTTTTGTTGGTCCTGCTGATCCTTGATCTCCTTCCACTGATGAAGGCAGAACAAGTAGCATCAGATCCATCGATCATCGAACACATTTCATAAAGATTATGCAGGGAACCATCTCGAGCCACAGAGACTCCTCCGAAGGTGCCTCATACATATCGAGATCGATCTTCGATTCATCTTCTAACATCTTATCCTCCATCTACAAAAATTGCCCGCGAAAAAGAGAGAGAGAGAGAGCTGACCTCTGACGTGAAGCTGAACATCTCCAGTGTCACCCATTGATCAGCGAGGAAGGTAAGGGAATGAGAAAGAGAGAGAGAGAGATGCTAGTTGACGCCTGTGATATTTGAGATCATACTTACGGCCAAGGGAGAAAGGAAGTCAGTGGAGGAGGATAAGAAGAAGAAGAGATGGGCATGCTGCAGTCATTTGGACTTTCCCGTCATGTGTGGCAATGTTTTCTTCACGGAGCTTTCGCACAGTCCTCAGATATTAAAGCGAAGTAGGAGAACACAAGGAACGAGAGACGGGCGAGCGGCTACGACTGCTGCTCTCAGTTGGACCTTCTCATCTGCATAGATATCTTCTTCTTCCCGTAGCTTTCGCACTGTCTCCGGCAGTTTGACTAAGCACAGGTTCGCTCGCTCAGGGAGGGTGCATTAGGTGGGTCCCTTTTGCTTCTGACCAATCATCCTAAAGGGTACCCGAGGCGGGTCCCCTCATGAGTATACTGTTCATCCTCGACCAAACTATGGTGCTATACGAAAGGGATGTCCACGTGGTTGGCAATGTGCTGAATTCATGCGAATCCGACCCGAATTTAATTTCTAAGCATTAAATACTCCTCACACGTTTAATAAAAAAATATATAGAAGAATAAGTAATAAAAAATTATACTGAATAGGGTAATTATAAAAAAAATGTTTAATTTATTCCATCCAAACTCAATCAAAAAGATATAAAATAAAATAATAAAAATGTGACCCACTGTGATCTTAGTTAGTGGGCATCAATGAGAGGTAGTCGTTAGTAAGTCAACAGACAACGTCACATAAAGTTATGGTCTCGAAGCATCACAAGCAACTTCGATTAATATTTCCAATTCACTTTCTCAAAAGTCCACCATTGATATTGTATGAGGAAGACAGCAAAAGAGCATGAAGATTTAAAGAAATTAGTCACTAGTGTAGTGATTTTAACTATTGGATCACCACCTATCTCGCATATAGGAAGAAGCTTTCTGTTGATGTTTTTGGATTCGAGCTGAATGGAAAATACAGAGAGAGTAAAACTAGAAGATACGATGAGTATGATGATGGGAGGCACATTTATGTAAAACCGTAGAAAGTGAGATATGAAAAGGTCACTAAGTCATTACATCATGATGTTACTTCAATGGCAATGGGTTCACCACCTTTATGGAATGTTTCTTCAGTCCAGCGGTCCACCAATATCACTAAAGCATCTGCAGAATTTTATTTGATTCTTGCAGCAAGACTTAAAAGAGCGTTTAGGAGATTACTGGTGGATAAGCCACTGACATATTGTCTCATAGATTTGATATTGTATTATAACCGGAACATTTAACGGTTTGACGCATGTCTTGGCGGTTGAATAATGTCCGGTGACTCTACATAATTATCTCATAAATTAATCTTTCATCTTAATTCGATAGTGATAAGTGATCATTTGATCGATTGACCATTGGTGTGACCTGTAGGCTCAGAAGGAATTATCCACTTTGGACGATGGGCATACCCGCACGGTTTTATCCTTTCGGAGTATGAGAACCAAGAGTCCGTCGAATCTTTTTTACTCTTAATGGTATCTTTCGGAGCTTACTCATATATTCTAAAAGGATAACCCTGTGGGTGTGCTCATGGCCCAAAGCAAATAATTTCTCGTGAGTCTAGTTGCAACCTCAAACAGGTCGCACTATAGCATTGCAAACTATTCGAACATATATTTTTACAAGCAAAAACACATAAAATCAAGATAAAATAGGTTATTATATCTCTGTACAAACATGCAAAAATGACATGATTTATTGAACGAAGTTGTTGTGAGTGCGCGATGACCATTCATGACACTACTAGCTGCACCAATGGCAAATAATACCTTATCAAATAGTTACCAATTTCACCATATGAGTATACTAACCTACATCAGTGTCTCTTGAATTCTCGATTTCATCAACTTAAACATGAAAAAACGTTTGTTGGATAAGCCCAAGGTGTCTTTTTTATATCAAATTCCTCTTTTTTTCTGGACATTGGACATGCAATCGACTGCAACACTAAGATCTAGATTCGATCTGTCACTTTGGCAAAATGTTTTCATGGGTCCGACAGTTGCTGTCGGCCTGGTAATGCTTGCTGACAACAGTAACCAGAAGCAGTTGCCTTCTTTTGTTTTCACTCTACACAATAATGGAAGAGAGAGGTATCTCAGTTTTGGAATATTACACTCCGCAGAGAGGTGATTTACGAGAGAGAGAGAGAGAGAGAGAGCAGAGCTCTTTTGGTAGATGGAGTCAATCATGTGTAAAGTCTGGATTAGTACAAAGAGGCTTCTAAGCAAAGAATCTGTTCATATTAGAAAAGACAGAGATGTATTTGGTTGCTGTCTCAATCAACACGATAAAAAATAAATGATGCTTGATGGAACTCGAGTGAGTGTCTTGTTGATTTCTTTATCATATATAGAGATTTCAGGAGGTCCAAAATGTCTTTGTCAAAGAGGAAACTTCAACGGAGGGAGGCTTCAGCATCAAATCCATCTGCTTCAGCATCAGCAAAGATAACTTCTGAAGCCACAACTGAAGGCCGTGAGAGAAACTTTGTGCAGCACTCTAGCAAAAGACAGTAGAATTAGGGCCACTAATGTCACAAGATGCAACTCCAATTGCTACCACTAAACATTCTCCAGTGTATGTTTACCTGTTTGGATATGGCTGTGCCACATTCTACTTCAGTTTAGTGTATCCCCATTTAACAAGTTATCTGCAAGTTAAGGAACTCAGATTACAATGATGAACTTTTGATTACATCACATACAGTCACAGTTTCATATCCAATATCCAAACCAAAAATGTACTTTCAACTCAGTTACTGCAGTCATGGATGCATTGAACAAGTTGCTTGTGTGACTGAATAAAACTTAACCAATTTACATGGACTAACTCAGTGTGTTACATCAAGTATGACAAATAATTGTATAGCTAACTTGAAACTTTGGATATTCCAAACTGAAAGTTGTTCACTTTTCGCATAAAAGAATTTGATAAAGATACGGAAACAATATATTCGTCTGAATAAGTCGTGAAATTCGAATAGAAAGGTACCTATTTGAGTATCACATAATCTGATCGAACATATGGAACAGAATTACTTATTGAAGAAAATTGGAGGCTAGCTTTAATATACCACTCACGTTGTAAATCTTTAGTTGTTATTGAACAAGGACCTAAGAGCTAACTCATAAGCAGAGAAGATGGCTCCATTGACAACAAAGGCCCGGGTAACAGCGGTTCCCAGTCCACGGAACAGCACAGCAACACCCTCTTCCTCTACACTCTTGCGAATGCAATCGACAATTCCGAGGTATTTTGGAGGCAGCTGACCGGCCCGAGGCTTCGATTGCGCCTGGAGTCTGGATTTCACCACATCTAGCGGGTAGCAACAGATCCAACTAGCTACTCCTGCCAATCCTCCAGCAATGAGCATTGTTCCGAGGCTTTCTTGGCCAGTCTTACGGCAACCTGGGTGAAGCTGCTCTCGTGCGTACTCATAAGTCCAGAAGTAAACTCCATGTGCAGGTGCATCTCGAAGGACAGTGATCGACAGGCCTCGGTATAAACCCCGGATCCCTTCTTTCTTTTTTATCTCCTTGGCCATGCTAACCGGTCCTAGTCGACCGTGTTGACGACCCTTATTGCCAATCATCTGTAGTTGAAGCCTTATTTTCACAAGCTCAACCGGGCTTAATATCAAACTCTGCAAGGCACCTGTTCCAAATCCGCTTAATGCAACACTTCCATACGAAGGAGGTTCATTCATATTCTTGGAATCAAAAGCTCGAGATAAGACTGCATACACCTGAAAGACCATGGCATTCTGCACAAAGAATAAAAAAGAAGTATAACACACAAGATAGAGCTTCCTAATTGCTGACTGTTCTTGTCTGCTAAAACAGAACTGACATACATTAATATCAAGATTTACCATAGAAATTCTTTAATATGTTACAACTAAGCATGATTCAGTACACATTTTATAGGTAAAATCAACAGTTCTGAGATCTTAATGATGCTACTTCTTTCCAGAGAAATGTGCCAGAATAACTCTTAAATGTCTGATCTAAGATGGCATTCCTATTTGCAGTTCCTATCAGCCTCAGGTTAGATTTGATAGCTGACCATATTTTAGTAGTTTAGATATGATTTGATTTGTACTTCAATTACTCAGGCATGAAGTTCTCTGATTTGACATTATCAAGTTTCTCTTTCTTTAAGGAACTTATTTTCACCTATCATGAATTGTCATGTCCTAGATTATTATCAAAGAAGATTTGAATTTGATCATGGCCTAATGTGTTGTTACCCTTTCCTCCTATAACTCTTTCTTCTTCCCTGTTTCTTCACCATGCTTACCTTGCTTTCTTTGGGATGCTATAAACAATTATCACATTCCTAATATGTGCAGAGACTCCAAGGCAGAAGAATACAACAAGAGCAAAATTTTGATGGAGGGTTCCATGATAAATCTGGAGTTGTGGTATCCGCATCTTTCTTCACGTTGAAACCGATTAGGAACTCACCATGAGGATCAAATACATTTAACTTCAGACAGAGCTTCAAGTGAAGAATATTCACATAAAGCTTGGTGAAGATTCTGCAAATCCTAAAGGAGCAGAGAAGGCAAAGCAACATATTCTACGAATCCTTTCCCTAGAAATGTTCGTTTATTCTTGATTCACAAAACATTATATCGATCGAATCATCCTTTGTTTCAGTCGTCTCCAACCTTTCTTCTTCCTCATCGATCGTAGCAAAGCAGTGTTAGGCCAAATTTCTTCTTGCTTGCGGGAAAGATAAGCAGATGAGGAAGCAGACCTGGAAGGTGACGGAGGCGAGGGGAGCGGCCATGCCGCGGTAGAGCGCGGCGGGGCCCTCGGACGCGAGGATGCTTCGGAGGAGGCCCAGGGCGGAGGGCGGGCGGCGAGGGCCGGCGGTGGAGGGAGCTGGCGGCTGCTGCAGGCGGATGCGGAGCGTGTCGAGGGGGTAGCCGGAGATGACACCGGCCATGCCGCCGATCCCTCCCGCCACGAACTCCTTCCCCCAGCTGCTCGCCAAGAACTCCGGCCAAAACTCCATCTCCCCAGCATTCCACACCCCCACTCCCCTTTCTCTCCTCTTCTTTCCTCAAATAAATAAAGATCCGTTTTTTATACTGCCCAATCTCCCAAACAAGAAGGGTTGTCAAAACTGGAAGCTCTCTCTCGTTTGTACTCGTTTATAGAACAGATGAGGAAAGCTCAGGGATCCAGGAGCATATGAGGCCAGGCACGCAGAAACGAAGGGTGGAGGCGGCTGAAGTCATGATCTCTCTCTCTCTCGTTTGTACTCGTTTATAGAACAGACGAGAAGAGCAGAGGGATCGAGGAGCATATGAGGCCAGGCACGCAGAGGGGAAGGGTGGAGGCAGCCGAAGCCATGAACGAGGAAGAGCAAAGCGAGATGCGCGCAGGAAATGGCCAGAGTCCGAGCGCAGGGGCGCTCCTGAGAGCGGCGGACTGGTGCGGTGAAACCAACCACGCCTCTCCCGTGTCTGCACGTGTGATATCAGTGGTGGAAGAAAAAGGTGGCTGCCCTCCTTTGTCGATATCCTCAGCTGCCGCAAGCGATAAGGGGGGAGTTGTCGTAGTAAAATAGGGAGTTATCATAGTAAGTCGGATACGTGGACGTCGGACTGCATAAGCGGCGTGTAAGAACAGGAAGACGGGGCGGAGGACGACCCGATCACGGGAGCGGCGGGCATGGAGGAGATCGGGACGCCGACCCGGTCACACCATCAACCCACGATGGGCCGGAGATCACTGCAACATGCAACACGTGCTCCTCTCTTACAATAGAATCCCAAAAAGATCTATCATAAACAACAATAAGATTCACGGAATATATTATGGATGATGGAAATGGTGGCTTTATGCAACATTCTCTTGAGCGAAAAAAGTTGTATACGAAAGATTCGATTCTTATCCAAAAAATTTACAGGACAGTGCCTAACTTTTGGTCATTCAAGAGAGCTCATGAGAACCCCACTCCATGGGCTTCAACCATCACATGAAGGTCCATGGGGCCTACCTAAGGGTTGATGTGGGCCACCACCATTCTTTCCCTTGCCTGAATGAACTGTGCTCTGACACTGATGTGTGTACCTTTCATACTACTCTGTTATCATATTTTCTACAACTATTTTCATGTATATGTCTCTAAATTTAATATTAATCTGACACAATTTTGATATGTCTACAAAAAGTATAGGCTTTCTATATGAAAATTTAATGAAAACAATCTTATTTTGTACTGTGACCTTCTTAAAATGATGATTGATACTGCAATGCCCAACATGGCTCACCAAAACTGTCTTTTCATTTACTTAATTAAGACAGTTGTTCATACAGAATCATCCGAAAGCTTTACTTCTAAATCTGGTTTCAAGCATCATAACGTTTGCATATTATGATGATCAAATCAACATGGGAAGCAGAAAATTCCAGGTAATCTAATTGAACAATGAATTTGTTCATGATTTCTTCCTCTTTATTTCTGGATTTTGTCCTTTTTAGTCTTCATCTTATACCAGAATAGAATGGAGATTGTGACATTGAGATTTTACAGGATATGTATCTCCCAAAGAATACAGTGTTTGACATCTCAACAGTTACTTTTTTTCTTTCTATCGAGGGAAACTGATGACAATTAGATCAGTGGATTATGGAATCAATGCTTCCAGTGATATGTTTGGGCCCTTTGGTCTTTTTAATTCAGGCCACAATTGATTGTGAAAGCTGTGTTTGATTGCTCTGGAGGAATAGTGTTCATAAATGTGAAAGATCTGCTAGTTTATTCTGGAAGAAGACAAGCTTGTGTGGATTATATTCTGATGGTTTTACTTTAATTTTCACTACAGTCATATTCTTTCTTGTAAATGCCATGATGGAATGATACAGCCATCAGCAAGAATATATATGTAAATGAAAAGGGGAGAGATGTTGTAGATCATAGCCTACCAGTGTTGGTTTGAACCTCAATCTCTCTCTTCTCCATTCTCGATCAGCAGGTGGTCTGCAATTTGGGTGGATGAATGGCTGGTCCTACACCATCACATCCAGATGAAGTCACTGATGGAATATGCATCCATCAGACCACTTTTTGTGAGAAAGTGGTGTACATATTAATATTCCACCATGTTTCTGATATGACTGCTCAACTCAGCTTGATCAAGTTAACCTCAGCTGTTTCCTAAATGTTCTTACTGCTGATTCAAGTTAGCAAAAACTAAGAACCAGTTTCAGGAGCTTCTGGTAAAAGTGACACTTTGTCTTGCTCATTTGATGAGCACTCTTTTTGTTGATGTCACCAAACACTGCAATAAGCCCTTTGCAAGTTGCAGAGATATTCTTCCACCATGCATTAAGAATCAATAAGGGAGGAAAATATTCCCCCACTATGCATGGAAGCAGTAGCATCCTGCATTAATAATTCCATATTGATACTGCTGCCCTGCAGGAAGCTATTCTTAACCTGCAAAAAGCCTCCATTGTTGCCAAAACATCTGAGGGTTTTACTCTTGTGTTCAAGGAGTACTTGGAACAGTGACAAACTTTGACCTTTAAGTCTGATCAGTTCTGCAACTTGCAAGATGAAAGACCTGTTTTTTTCTGTGGTAATTTTCTACGATATGTGTTTTATGATTTAATATACAAGAATGGGATTAAAAACATCTAAAAAGTCTTGAATGATTATTATTATTTTTAGAACTGACAAACTAGAAAAAAAAGAAGCATTTTGGAACTTCTCTGTCAAGTGGCTGCAATACCATTTGCTACTGGATGGTGAGAGTTCTCCACCAACTACATTAAAGTATTACTAAGGTTAGCTCAAATGCTCTCCTATTCTGCTTCCATCTTAGCATCAAACTTCAAATTAAATAGATTACCCACATCCTAATCCAACACAGTGACATGATCACTATGACCATTAGTACAAACCGCTTCATGCCAAGTTCCACCCTTTGATCATCTCCAGAAATGACCCCATACAAACATCTTTTTATGCATTTTCTTCTTACAATATCCAAGATGATAAGTAGTATAAAACTCTAAAGGCATGTTGTAACAACTCGATCAATCCCACAAAACCCAAGAACAAATTATACATTAAAAAAATAAGATAAATATTTGTATAGAAGAAAGTCCCATCACCCATCAAAACCGAGACGCCTTCTCCTCCTCCCCCTAACACAACACGCGGCGTTTACGGCGTGTTCTGGGAGAGGAGAGAGCCGCCCTTCTCTTCTCTCTTGGGCAGTGCTCTCCGCTCCGCTCCGCTCCACATCGCTGCAGATCAAAGCTGGTCATGTTAGATAAAAGGCAAAGAGAACATAAGCAGGAGGTAGCAGATGGCACGCAGTGCAGTGATGTGTGTTCATGTTGCTGTCTACGGAGGCGATGTGCGAAGTAGTAGTTGAGAAAAGGCGTGGGTTTGACTTGGTCAGGTGGACGTGGGTGTGCGTGTTCGACATGTGTGAGAGGGGGAAGGAATCTAATTGAGGGGAACGAGGCGCCCCTGTGGATGCAGCTGTGCTGTATTATTGTCTCTGAACACTTTCGTGTCTTTTGGTGAGACGACCGCTTGTTGGAGACGACTTTTCCTTTTTATTATATATATATATAATATATATGCTCTTCTTCTCTTTCTCACTCCTTTGACATTGTCCAAAAGTCAAGTTGAAAAATCTAAGAAAATAAAGAATTCCTTTTTCTTTCCTCCCTAGAAATCAACCCGGTTTTGGGTGGATTTGCTTTGACAAAACACAAGGGATCCAATGCTCGCCACCACTGTCTCTCTGTCTGAAAACCGCTTTCGCCAGTTCCATGGTATAAATCCCAACTCCACTCTTCTGTGCTCTGTTCCTCCTAACAAAAGTCAGCGCGCCTCACATCCCCTTTCCCTTTTCCGAGCCGCTGTTGCCCTTCCCCCTTCCCTATTCGGTCAACGCCGTCGGTTGTACGCGGCACCGGGGAGGGTTATTTATAGGAGGGTTTGCTCCCGGGCCGTGCTTAAGGCACGATTTCCAGTTCTCGGCGGCGGCGATGGACGACGACAACTGGGATCTGAGCGCCGTTGTGCGGAGTTGCCGGCCGTCAGGGACAGCGGCGGCGGCGGCGACGACGACGACGACGTCGGACACTTTCTCGTTGTTGCCTCCGCACTCGAGGCAGCTCCTGGCGGCGGAGGGAGGCAAAGGTGGCGCCTTTGTGCTTTCACCGGACGTAAACCAGAGGCGGACCAGCACCTTGGGGGCGGAAGAGCTATACAACTCCTCGTTCCTCAAAGGCTGGCCACCTCGTTCCACCACAACCACCTCCCCGCTGGCCGCCGTGGGCGGGTCACTTCAACCCCCACCGTGCCGGAGAGCAGACCGGCCTCTCTCCCGAACCCACCGGTCCAGGCGAAGGTAAGCATGCCGCCCATTTCCTACTCTTACCCTCGAGATGAAGGAAGAGAGAACTTTGATCTAAGAATTGGATCTTTGATGGGATTCCAGGAAGAGCCAACAGAAGAAGGTGGTGTGCCACGTCCCGGCCGACGGCCTCTCCTCCGATACGTGGGCCTGGCGGAAGTACGGGCAGAAACCCATAAAAGGTTCGCCTTACCCTCGGTAATCAAGCTACCCTTCGTCTTCCCGTGTTTCTCGTCTTGCTTCGACATCGAAGCTCAAAGAAAGAGGCTGACTTCGAGGTCCGAAACAGGGGTTACTACAAGTGTAGCAGCTCTAAAGCGTGCCTCGCGCGGAAGCAGGTGGAGCGGAGCCGGACAGACCCGGGGATCTACATCATCACCTACACCGGCGAGCACAACCACCCCATGCCCACCCATCGCAGCGCCCTCGCCGGGAGCACACGCCACAAGTTTCCAAGTCCTCCCTGCGCCGCCGCTGCCCCGGGGGATGGCGGCGAGCGCCCCTCCACCGCCGACCCCGAAGCCAGTCCCCTGTCCGCGACCACCGCAGCTGGGCTGTCCCCCGCCACCCCGCTCACTGCCTCCATGGACGACGAGCCTTTCCGCAGCCGACCAGAGAAAGGGGAAGACGGCGTGGACGAGGAGGAAGAGGTGGAAGACGAAGATGACGAGGGCCTGCTCCTGGTGGAGGACATGGAGATGATGGGCGAGGACGACTTGCTGTTCGTGAGATCAGAGGAGAGCGGCCCCGCCTCGGCGACGACGGCGGAGATGGGGGCGTTGTTCGACGGCGACGCAGGCTTCGAGGACCACTTGCTTCCTCTGCCATGGCTGTCTAATTGCAACAGCAACAGCAACAGCAGCAGCAGCAGCAGCTGCCACGGCTGCTACAGATGACGTCTTCTCCATCTCCACCTCTCTCAGAGACTCAGCGATGGCAAAAGTCCACAATTTTGTCATCTGTTCCGCTGCTTCTGCTGCTGCCATTAATGTGCAATATGCTGTCATTTTTTTACGCTCGCTCTATTTCTTCGTCTCATGTTGTGTCTTGTGCAGTATGCATATGTAATGTATAAAGGAAGACCCTTTTGTTATCTTCTTCGGCTTCTTATCTGTTCTCATCTTACGACACCAAAATAAATGTCCACTGACATCTGTTGCCATGTCGCCAAAGGTCTCCTATCTGTATCTGCTCAAAGCAGATCATACTATCAATGTGTGTGCTAAAGAAGAGATCAACCAAAGAAGACTTGGATACAGAGGATGAGAAGAAAAGGAGAAGGAAACACCACAAAGAAATCATCGTTCATAATGTACACAATTAATGTGTGGCTCACAACCAAAGGGGGGAGGAGAAGATACAGCTAAACAAGGGAGCAGCTGCACGACCACACGATACTTTGCAGGCCAATGAAATTAATAGCGATGACGTTGGAGTTGAAAATTTGCAATTTCGAATCAGATGGAGTGTCTAAATTCAAAGCTTATCCACTCACTCGCATGCCATTTGACTTCGAGTTCTTGGTCAACTCTTAACATTTTTACAGCTCTGAGAAAGACCACACGAGGCAGAAGGACTCGACCGTACGTTGAAAAGAACGGATCTCTATCTATATCCGGTTAAAAAGAACTCAATCAAATGTTAAGAGGGTCAACGTATCAGTAAAGTCCTCAGTAGATGAACGTAACAAAAGGAATCAAGGTCGAGCATTTAAGTGTTGGCAACATAGGCCTAGTGGTTAGTTGCTGCCATTCAAGAGGAACTCAGTTGACCAGAAGGCGATTGATGAACTCAGTTGACCAATTAAATCAGACAATGGATAATAGAAAGTTGCAGCTAATGACAAAAAAGTTCAACAAAATCTGGAAAAATAGAAAAGAAAAAAGAAGCAAATTGTGAAGTAACTGAACACATCTGAAGGAGTAAAACTTGAAAAGCAATCACAAAAAAAAGTAATGTGCCAAAAACTTGAGACATCTGATATCAAGGTAACAATGTGTTTCATGATAGCTGGGTTGACTAGATTGCATGAACATGACAAATCAAAAGACTTGGTTTTGCAAAAATATTGACAAGAAAATGTTTGTCATCCGACTGAAGATAAACATTTACTAAGAATTGTTAGCCACAATTAACTTATGATACAAAATCATGGCTAAGTATGATGAAGTGCTGCCCAAAAAGCTTGGGGAACATGAACTTGTTATAATGCTTTCGATAGCTTTAACAGCATTTAAATTTACAGGAAATAGACTTGCTTTGTATCATCAGCAAGATTGTCATGTAGATCACATTTCTTAAGCATGAATTAATATATCCTAAGAAATTATAGGATGGAGTAACAAGGAAGAATTTCATAATTTAGTCATATCAATCTACTAAACTATACTTGCAACCCATCACCAGAGTTAAAATCAATCTGCCAATGAACTAACCGCTAGTATCAAGGAAGCACAAGTTTACTTATTTGTTTGAAATTTAAGCAAGAAACCTTCCAGAAGTGAGATAACCATTAAAACTTGATGTAGCATACACAAAATCTAGAGTTCAGCTGTTAGTGGACCAGTTCTTCCGGTGTGTGGTCCAGTTCTTAACCTATGCTGACGTAGTCTCCAATATCCTCAGTGTACTTCATGACAATTAAGATAATTACTTAAGAATAATCCAGAAATAGTCAGCGGAATGAACATTTAAGAAAAGCTAGGCCTACAACTACATATCGTGAACAAAAAAATATAAAACATGATGACAAAAGACCGCAGGGAAAAAATCTTTACGTTTATATAATGATCATCAACACGAAAAATTACAAAAAAATGGAAATAAACCTTATATCTATCAAGAAAATAATCAAAAATGTTAATTGATTGCTTGTGTCCAAAAACTAGAATAAGATACTTCACCCTTTATTTTGAGAATGAAATATACTTTTACCATAAACAATCACCATCATCAACATGGAGGGGCCAATAATTTGTTTTAAAACTTAAAAAACAATGTTCCATAATTTATTGCTAAAGCATAAAGGGCGTACCCAGTGCACGTGGCTTCTGCCAATGTAGGGACTGCGGAGGGTCAATGTACACAGCCTTACTTTTAAATATTTAAATAGGCAGTTTCTGTAATTTACTGCTAAAGCAATAACTGAAAAGAAGAAAAGCTGAATAAACCGGTATAGATAGGCCTGATTCCTGTATGCAAGTTCAAACCAGTTAGCAGTTGCCATCTGATGGCTATCCAGCTGTTTCCTCATTTTTACCAGCAGCAGCAGCAGCAGCTGCTGAAGCTGCCTCATTCAAGCCCATCTTTTGCAGCTCATTTGAAAAACCATCAACATCAGCTTCACTTATTTTATATGGTGTATAAACTGCACTTGGAAATGAACGATTTTCTACTTCTTCTTTGTACTGTGAAAGAGCTTTGCTGATGACATCTCCCACATGTGCATATTGTTTACAGAACTTCGGAGTAACCTGTCAAAAAAAAAAAAAAAAGATTATGCACACTCATGTAAGAACCCACAAGGAGGTAAAGAGAGAATCAAAATAAAAACCCAAATTACCTTAGCATGATGAGGATGCTGAAACATACCCAACAAATCATGGTAAACCAGCACCTGCACAACTTGAAACTCAGCTCACTTACTTTTTCTTAGCCATATGAAAGGCAAGTAATGAACAGTGATCGTATAAGCAAACACAAAAGGACAAGTTGCATGTTTTGGAAAAGCCCAACAAGAATGCCAATCAAGTCACCATGAAAAATTGCAAGAGAAAACAAAATCAGTATAACTTTGTGACACTATACTACTACAATGTTACAAGAACAAAATACAATTAACAAAAAACTGATCAACAATAAGCATTCAAATAACCAAGGATCAAAGCATAACATGTGGTGCCTATGCCAGTTGGTGACTAGCAATCTGGCACAAAGCCTATGGCAATAACTGCATGGGCCATATGGGTTGTGTCATCAGGTAACATATCAGTATAGCAATTGTAACATGTCCCTAGATTCTGTCACAGAGTGCCTAAAAGGTACATCTCATGTAACATACAGCGTACTACTGAATACCCAATCCACAAGGATAATAATATTTTGACATTATACTTGTCAAGAAATGTAGATCACAAACTATTTTATGCAGTAAAATAAATACATAAAAGGTGTAGATGGTTAGCAATAAAAATAATCTACAAAAACGTAACCACGTCAGTAAATAAATGAGAATAAACTATCCGGCGGTCTTGTCCCACAGCACCTGTTTCAGAAAGCCTTCTGAGATTAAGCAAACAGCAACGTAAATGGAACCATGATCTGCTCACAAACGAACTTTTTATATGAATGGGGTGAAGCTCAAACTTCTCTTAGTCAACAGTGATCCTTGCTAATGATTAACCAAATGAAAGTATTCCTAACTCACTTGCAAGTTAATTTGCCTAATGTGCATCGATTATCAAACTATTGATAAGATGCCAAGGATAGTCACCGGAACATGAACCCCAAGACAGGCACTAAAATCTACTGCAAGGAATTTTTGAATAATGAACATTAACAAGTGAATTGCATTAAGAGCTACATCAAGTCCGTTGGCTGGCTGTGTATGATGATTCATGCTATACTTCCTTATTACCTGATCTCAAAATAGTAGTCCATATAATAGGACATCCAGTTTTGTACTGAGAACTTCTGTTAAATGGGCTGTCCTTTAAAGAGGAATAAGCAAGAATTGAACAGAAAAGGAGAACTAAGGTGGTTAGCATGACCGATATGAAGGTCAAAACTAAATGGGGCCATTTAGAACAAACTTATGGAAATTGAAAGCTACCATATCTAAGTGGCTGAGAAAAAGAAATTTGATACTTTTTCTTGAACTTTCCATGTGCTTGTTCATTAAGCTAATAATTTTATGCACTTTAACAGTCCAAGAATTCAGAGGAAAAATATAATCTCGGTAAATTCACGAACACCTCGTGGATGGATCTCTCTCACAAATAATTTTCAATTCTAGAACATTTTCCTCTTCATTATAGCCCTGCAAGAAAGCAACATCAAAAAACTTGATAAACATTAAAAACTCCATTTTGGGCCAATAGACAATCTAACCTGGCCGCTACAGAAAGGTCCAGCACCAATGCCAATGGTGGGTATCTGCAGTGCAGCAGTCGCTGCTGCAGCAACTGGTGCAGGCACACACTCCAAAACAATTGAGAAGCAACCCGCCTCCTGCAAAGCAAGTGCCGTCTCCACGACCTGCATATAGCGAGATCTTATCATCGAACTACGCACCAAATAGAATCTGCAAAAGCAATTCAATGTGACAAAAGAAAGCACCTTGACAGCACTAGCAACTGTCTTCCCCTGCGGCCGGAACCCCCCAAGCACACTAATAGCCTGCGGAGTCAATCCAACATGCCCCATGACCGCGATGCCCGCCTCGACAATCGCCTTCGCTGCAGAGATCCTCGACGGTGCGCCACCTTCCAGCTTGATCGCGTCCATTCCCCCTTCCTTCAACATCCTCACAGCCGAGTTGACCGCCTGCCGTGCAGCATCCCCCAGCCCAAGAAACGATCAAAGGACTCGTATTTACGAATTCTTGCACTTGGGAAGAGAGAGGAGATGGACCTCGGAGGCGGAGGACTCGTAGGAGCCGAAAGGGAGGTCGCCGACGAGGAGGGGGCGGGAGGCGCCGCGGGCGACTGCGCGGCAGTGGGCGAGCATGTCGTCGAGGGAGATGGGGAGGGTGGTGTCATGGCCGTGGATGACCATGGCGGCAGAGTCGCCGACGAGGAGCACGTCGACGCCAGACGAGTCGACATGGGCGGCGGAGGGGTAGTCGTAGGCGGTGACGACGGTGATGGGCTCGCCGCGGCGGTGCTTCTGGCGGAGATGGGTGAGCGTGACCCGGCGACCGGGGGATTGGGGCTTCGGCCCGCCGTACACCGTGCTCTCCGGCACGTTGCTCATCAGTCGCCTCGCCAGTAGCCGCAGCATCTCCCCTTCTGTTTCTTCCTTCCTCGGCTTCCCGTCCCTTGCTATTCTCCTCAAGGCCGCTGCTCCCACGTGCCTCCCGACAAGGATGTATAGGGGAGATTCTGGGGATCAGATAGATAAGGACCTCGATGGGACTCGGTGGCGCTGTACTGAGTGTGGGAATGTACAGGACAACAACGACAAAATCCAATCTATAACCAATGTAGACCTAATTATTGTCGATAGCAACGATTTTGATTCGAGTTCGTTTTCCTTTTCACTCCTTACCTTTGCCTTTAATCTTCCTTAGCCTTTACTTTTCTTGAAGATATTGACTCGTTCTTTAATAATAATGCATATATATTCTAGAAAGTTGATATTATAGGATGATCGTAAAATGTTTGGATCAATCTGAATCATGATTTCTGGACACGAACCCAAATAATTGGGACATTTGGGTTTGTTGTTGTGGTCTCACCCCATCAAACACAGGCCGACCATGAGCTTGAGGTGATCTAAGTCAAAACGAGTAATTATCGCACATTCGTAGCACTACGGAATATGAGTGCTCTTCTGATCGATAATAGTTTGAAAGGTACACAACCAACCTTGTTTACGGGAAAAGAAAAGGGGAGGGCACCACACAGCAAAAAGAGGGTTGCGATACAGTAAAAGATGCTCCTCTTTTCTCAAGACGGGTAACAAAAGGACATACATAGATTTCAACTCGAGACATTTGTGTATGTAATTTAACAAACGTCACACGGTTCTTCTCGTGCTCGTGCAGTCGTTCTTGCTGCTCGAGAGAGAGAATAAAATGGCATTCACCCTTCTTCAAGTCACTTGCAAAGACTGTTGCCTGTAGATGGCGTTCTTATCTCCACTCGCTAATGAGTCGATGGAATACCGATGTCATAGGCCATATGAACCTGTCGATTGGTCATTTGAATCAGCACGTCTTGTACTGACGTGCTGTATTATAGGTGCTTGAACATTGAGAGAGTTAACAGGTGACACCAGAAGCTGGTCAGTAGAACCATCAACTGAGGAAGGTGGCGGTCGTGATTGTGCTGGTTGTGTAGGAGCAACCAAGTACTGACTAAGGGCAGCGTCGTAGGCACTGCCAGTTAGACTACCTCTCATGCGCCCCGTTGGCTGCCAATTGCGCTCATATGGAAGTTCAGACGCCCCATGAGATCCTGATGAAGGCAGTGTCCCATCCATGTCGACGACTGTGGGAAAAGACGGCACTCTGGTCATGACAGGAATTCTTGCTGCTCCTGTTTGTGCTGTGGCCGCCTGTGCCGCAAGTTCGGCAGATGATCGTATGCTAAGACTAGGTCCCGCAGCTGTTGGAAACACAGGACTCCGTGATGTTTGCAGCACCTGACTCGAAGGATTACGAGAAGGCCACGAAATACTTGACAGATTTGCAGAATGATGTCCCCTTTGATATAGTAGCTGTTGGGGATTTTGGTAGTCTGAGGGAGAGTGGACTGTTGCTCTGTAAGGATCTGCCACTCTTAACTGGCCTTGTGGAGCTGAAGTGCCAACCAGGCTAGGTGCTGGAACACCAACAACCCGCTGCAATGCTGAGTTACTATGTTGGTGGGGTTCCTGGTGATCTCAAAATTGAAAAAGCGAAAAGGTCAGTGGGCAAGTTCAAAATTGAAATATAGAAGTAATACTGTTGATCATAGAATTGGAATTCTACGACACCAATGTAGAATTTTTACAGATATGTCAAACAAGCAGAATATATTAACTTGTAGTAGTCGTAAAACATGAAAGGCGCCACCTTGATATATATGTACATGTGTAAACACAGGACAAACAAATACATAGTTCTTGCAAAGAGACACATGTACCACTAAATTCACAACAAAGAAATTTGTGGAAATGCAAAAGAAAGAAAATATAAGAAAACTGTATGATCTACAATGTCAACTATTTTGTAGCATGATCCAGCAGATTTAAAATTTGCATGGTTAATTGACTATACAGACAAGTTACAGTAGGGACCTATTGTGGAGCTATTTTGGCAAGATAGAGACACTGATTGCAGTATACATTGTTGCCCGGTTTTAACTAATCAGAGTCAATTATTGCAAATCAAAGAAGACAAACTTGCATTTTCTCAGAACCATCTAGGTTATCACTGGTGTCAATTAATTCATGCAAGTTCATGGTCGAAAGAGTTAAATGGAAGGTTCAAAGCTTGCCACCAAAAACAACATCCATCAATTTCAACTTTCAAGACAAAGAAGTTTTAGATATATGCAAAAGGCAGCAAACCTAAAAGTAGTCAAGCAGTTCTAGTCCTATAAGGTCAAATGAGATCCATGAAAAAACAGTTGAATCAGTCACTATATATATGTGTGTGTGTATATATGTATGTATATGCATATACATATATATATACACAATTACAGTGTGTGCTCAAAGGATAAGAATTTGAGGATACAAAAAGAAGTGCATCATAATGAAATAAGGTTCAGACAGATACAGCACAATCATTCAAAAAACAACATAAAATTGCAATCAATTACACCATTATAATGCATTCAATTACAATGCTAAGACTGTAACCTTTGCTGCACTGGAATATTTTAGTAAAATTACCGGAGTTATGGAATGCAACTGTGATGGTACCGAAGCCATGTTGGAAGTCCTGGAGTGTTGCTCGATTTGCATCTGACTGCTAACTGAACTAAGTCCACTGGCCATAGTTGTTGGAGAAAATGCTTGGTGAGATATAGAAGTAATACTGTTGATCATAGAATTGGAATTTGATGAACCTATATGCACTCTTCGAGATGAACTGGGTGGTTGTGTTTGTGCAGGAAGTGCTTGTACTGCTATTGGGGTCCTACTAACATGTCTAGGTATAGGAGGTCTCCCTGCTTCATTGGTAATAATTGAACCTGCCAAATGCAATGGCTGTAATTGCAAATTTTCAGCAAGCGGCATCCCTTGTGATGCTTGCTGAAAAGTTGGTGTAGACTGTGAAAGTTCAAGACCTGTTAAAACCCTATTAAGTGCTGGAGAAACAGCATCAGTTTGAATAGGATTCAGCACAACATTAGGGACAAGTGATTCCAAGGTTCCCAGTGCATTAGCATTGCCACCACCTGTTCTGCCTGATGTGGAGCTAGAAACTGAAGGCAAATTCCAGGGCAAAATACCATCTCCTGTATTGTAAACAGCTGCTAGAATGTTCATAGGAGTACTGGTGACTGGAGCCCCAGAAGCATCCAGTGAGACCGGAAGACCTTCAATATCCCTGAATGGTTTCCTGTCTTCTAACTCGCAGATAATGTTTTCAGCTCTGTATGCATATCCATGTGAAGGTGTAACTTCTTCTGAACACTTCGCTATATCGGATGCATAATCTTCTTCCATAGTCAAATCTACAACACCAGTTAATGTACTCCCATTCTCATTGCTAGTTTCTTGCTGCCCAGACCTCACCTTATGAACTTGATTTATACTTTTATTGTGTTCAACAAACGCCTTCCATGATCCATCAGCAAAAATTACAATATCAGCAATATCCTCCCCTACCTCTTGCAGTACCTGGTAACAGAGAATGAACATCATGCAACTTGATGTGTAGTTGATGCCATTGTTGATTGATATTCAAAGTACTTGCCTTGACAATATTTTGATCAATCCGTAGGTCAATACAACTAGTAGGTGTGTTACAACAAGGACAGCGCCAGGATGGCTTGCGAAAGTTCATTTCCATGAAATTATCATAGTCAAAACACTAAAGACATAGTAGAGTCAAATAAAGGCCTTGTATCTTTCATATTAATTCAAAATACAAAATAGAGTCCGACCTGATGATGTTTGCAGAGATGTCCTTTAACAGGAATCTTAATACGCTTGAAGCTGTACATAGCATCATGCAAGAATAAGACAGCAGTAAATCGCTAATTACAAGAACTGTCTTAACATTTATTATTCAAGACTTCAGTAACATGAGGAAATCAATTATCAAATAGAATAAGTACAAGAAATTACATTTCACCAAGAACATTCCAACACACCTTATAGGGCAATTGAGTGTTATCCTTGATGGCCCCTCAATTATGTCGGAATCTAAATCAATATCAAGCCAATACTTTCAGTGGTACATCTCAGCATCCAATCCAACAAAAACATTATTATGGTCAATAACATTAGCATAGACATACAACATCATTAGTGTTCATTTGCAAAAAGGAACTATTAAGATAATAGCTTCAAGCACATATTCTCAAAGGAAAGCACATAAGACAATAATAGCCACCCAAGAGATGTTCAGAAACATAGGATAAACTGATCCATGTTGAATTTGGTCAAAATTCATAGAAACAGGTCAACAATCACAATTTCAAGACACAACTCTTTTTTCCAAATTCAGCTTAATTGTATCAGTTCAACATCCAGACCATTTAAAATTTTATTTTTCTGGATAAATTTACTAATTGTTTATGATACACAGGCATTATGGAAAGGTGTTACTCAACCAAATGTAATGCATTTGCATCTCAGGTTACAGTTACAGGTTGTATCTCACATTATTCTAACACTATAGGCTTAAACATCCAACCCGCATTATTTATAAGTATCAAGACACAAATGAGAATCATTGCACCAATCTATTAACTAGATTCTTCCAGATATACTTGCATCCAAACTTACTGATCTTTTAGATGTATTTTTAAGCATATAAAGTTCCCCTGATGTCACTTATACTATCAATGTCTGAGAATCGAATCATGTGTCCACCTTTGTTCACAGATAAAGATTAAGATTACTTTTACATTGGGACAAATTTAAGGGTTGGAGATGGGAAAATGCTTACAAAAATTATAACAAAGAAATCATATTACATTAAATAAGTCAAATATATATTGTAGTGATTTTCCAAATATATTTATAGATCACAAAGTGAATCAACAAAAATTAACAAATTAACTTACCTGAAACAGTTTTTTCAATCACAGGATGAACATAATCCTCCAGTGTTGGAGCAGCAGGAGTAGTTATTCTACCGATGAAGGCAATGGCTATGATGTAACTACCTGTTTCAAATAAAACAAATTAGGTTACAAGCACATACAAAGAACGCATATACATGGAAAACATACTATACCAGAATGAGAGTATTGCTGGATCCAAATAAAAGTGCAATCAGCATACCACTGAAATATCCAATAGCCTGGATAATATTTGTTCCATATTTTAGCATTTTAGTAATATCTGTCGGAAACTGAGGTCCTGAATCCTGTTAAATAAACAAAAGAATACTACAGATGACAGGAGCTTTGCATCAGGGGCAAGACCAAAAAGATAAAAGGTCGATGAGGCCCAAATACCATGGAAACATTTGTCCTTCTCTCAATGCCCTTTCCATTCACCAAAAAGCTGCAATATGAAGTGGGAAACATCTCAATATCACAACATCATTGGGCTTAACTAGAACGCCAGAGGTGCGAAAAGATATACCTCACATGTTGGGGGCTTATAATACATGACGATGTATCTAAATTATCTGTCTGAACAACAAGGAGGCACTGCAAGAAAGAGAGCACATGCTGACATGTTTAGCGCAGATAGACACACTGATATTTCTTTTATTTTCTTTCAACCTTTTCTTTGTTCTTTTAGAATGACAGATATCCCTATATAGTGGATATTTCATGGAATCTAATCAATTAGCTTAAAATGGATAAAAGAAATGTCATGAGGATATTTACGGTATAGTGAGATGCCTCCAAAGCTCAGATGATAACCTATACCATCTAGCTCCATCAAGAACAACATTCTCAGATGATGCAATGATCTTCACATCATTTCACAGTTTTCAAGTCTTTTGTCCTCTCCCATTCTTGATACTTATTTTTTATGAGACAAGTCCAAGGTTCCAAGCCATCAAAACAATCTTCCAAATTCACCATTGTTGTTTCTACCAAAAGATTAATTTTCCCCAACCACCAAAATGCCACCACGAGATCCGAACCTCTGCCATAATAAGTTCAAACATCTTTCCTAGGTCCTCATCTTCATACTGTAAAATAACATAATTGACCTTCTATACATACAAAATTTTCCTTTTGATGTTAAAGACTTAAGGTGCACCAGTAATTACAGATTAAACATGTCTGTCAGCAATAACAATCGTGTCTAATCATTAAAAATAATTTTCTTCATCATCAACTTATTATTGAACGTTGAAATCTTTATTTTTGATATATATTAACCATATATTCCAACTGCAACAGTAATTATTGATAAATGGTGCCAAAACTAGATACTAAACAACTATATCTTGGTCCTACTTATTTTGAAAACTATATTTGTACAACAATTGTTCTTTCTGGAGCAAACATTACACTTAATTCCACAAAAACCTAAAATTTTCAGATCCTTGTTTCTTACTGTAAAATTAAGCTACTTATATAGTTTTCATTAATAATTTGTGATAGAAACTCCCATCACCTTTCTTGAATTTCACCTTCTTTATTTTTCCTTTAAGTACTTTCATATTTGTCCTTTTGAAAATCATCGCATGCTTTGTATCTAGTTCTAGCAGTCACATCTTGGAATCTTTTTGCAACAGCCTTATGGTAGTAAGGCTAAACTTCACTACTTTTCTTGCAAAACAAATTAATAAACATATAAGTACTGAGTTGGATGCTTTAATATATATTAGAACACTTACTTGAAAAAAGATAAAAAAACTAAATATATTCAAATGATGAGACTTTAGAATAGAACGTACATCTATTTTTTGAAGTTCAAACAGGTTAAAGGGATAAAAGTTTTCATGGCTAGCCTTGTTTTTGTAAAAAGTTATTCAGGTTATTTTTTAAAAGAATTGCTGTCACAGATAAACGTTTTTGTTTAGAGAACTGCTATTCATGATATCGTTCTCTTCCATAAGATCGCAAACACGGATGGCAGCTTGGCAAGAATAAATCGATGCAGACAGTATCAGTTTTTAACTTGTTTTCCATGTCAACTGAAAGAAGGTAAGTCACAGAAATACTTCCTAGAGGAGGCTTGTCTTGGATATTTTGCTGAAAACAAGGACAGACTTGAAAAGAAATCTATACGACGGACAAATTTCAGTCTGATCCAAACCAAGAATGTCCAATTCCAATGCTTGAATTGTAGATCTTATGGGAGACCATCAGGATCAGCAAAAATTTGAATAATCCTAGTTGGTATTGACTGATCTTGACAGATTCCATAGATAAAGCCTGTTATCAGTAAGAGTACTCCTTTGTGACCTCCTTTGCAACCTAGGAGGCCAAGGTTAGTTTGGAAACATACTCTCTATATAAAAAGGTAAGATTGTATATTGAACTTTCCTAGACCTTGCATTGATGGATGCCTCATGATCTGAAAACACAATTGATATTTTACCTTGACTGATTTTAGAGTCATTAAGAATAGGGAAACCAATCCCAAACTCCATTTTGTCAAATTGGGAAATTCAAAGAAATCCAATCCTAAATCCCATAAAAAGAGGGCGTAACTAGTGCACCAAACTCCCGCCAATACGGGATTTGGGGAGTGTCAATGTATATGCAACCTTACCTTTAAATATTTTAAAAAGACTGTTTACATGACTCAAACCCTAATCTCTCCTATCGCAAAGGAGCAATCTTACCGTTGTACCAAGGCCATCCCGCCCACCCTCCCAATCTTAAATCCCATAGTCAACAAAATTAATTGAATTCAAGCTTGTACCAACCCATCATCAATTTTTCAGATCACAACAAACTACAACTTAAAAGACCAAACGTCTGTTTAAATCATCGGTAGCTTAAGTGTTAGGCCCTTGTCTCTTAGAAGATGTTATAACTAGCTATGCCAGAGGAGAGGAGAATCAAGATTTATCTTTTTCTTTCATTTCCTCTTTTTGTTGATCCAACAAAGGGCTTTAGAAGATTTTCTTTTCTTTTTGGTTGATTTTTCATTCTAGTGACACATCAGTAGTGCTAAACTCAACATGGCATATCAAGTTGGCATGAACCTATTGGCGACTGGTTAGCATGAGTATAATCAAGATTTTCAACATCTATTCAACCCATACAACTGCCACACAAAGATGGATATAATTATGCTGGCATGCCAAACCAATAACAAATATGATCCATGATCCAGTGGAATGCACTGCAGTGTCAGTCATGTCAATATTTGTTGGGCAATATATTATGAATTCTTTTTATGTATGAAGCAATAAACACTAATTAAATGGCTCCTGTGACAGATATTAATATCAATACCCAATCACAACTTATTATCAACAGAAAATGTACATAAAAAAAGCTTGTCATGAACTTAAAAATATAATCAAGGAAAAGGGCTTGAATGTAGAAATAATGTAGAACAAAATCATCCTGAAGAGAAAGTGCAAAATAGATAGTTGACCGAATAAACTTTCAATAGGGACTGTTTAATTAATGTCTATTTGATCCCTAACATACTACAATAATTGGACAAAGAAACTCACTTACAATCTTCTGATCTGGAGGTATGTTCCTTGATATGTGAAAATCAGCCATTAAAATATCATAACCAGGCTGCAGAACATATTAATGAATTAATATGCTGTTCGAAAATCCAAGTTCTTCAAAAGAATATGACAGCATCATAGAGAAAGTTTCGATTTATGTTAAAGAATTAATATGGAATCTATAAGGTAAAATTCAAGCTGTATCTTAGGTCATGAAATCTCAATCAAAGCAATAACTTGTGCTCAAATGGGTTAAAGCATCTCAAGACATAAACTGAGACAGCACTAGCAGTACAAAAGGCAGACTGGATGCAGACTTAAGTTCGTTTATGTGACAAGTGTATCTGTAGATTTCATTGTACAGCAAATTAAAATACAAGTAAAAGGTGTCTACCATAAATAACCCAAATACAAAATCAGAATATAATAGAAAAACAAACAAATTCAGGGAAGTGATGCATCTTATAAATGCATTTCACAACATATTCCGATACAGTATTGTGGTACTCTGGCATTTGTGCTATTGGCAAGGATAGAAGATAAAAAGAACAACTACCTCCATTATATCAAGGTAACCCATTCATTCTTTTATATGAGTTGGAACATTAAAATGTTAGGAGCATGATCCTAGAATTATACAGGCTTATTTGCATATTATCCTAGCTTCTTTGATATTTTTCAAGTTAAAATCAAGTTGCCTAATGAAGAAGAATGCAAACCACAGAAACTTCGATGAACAAAAACAAAAAAGCAGTGAACATGAATTTAATGTATTCTTTTTTATTTCATCAAGATCTATAAAAGCTGAAGTATCGGGCCTATTTTATTGATCAAAAGAAGAACTCAATACCATTTAAATGATCAAAATGAAATTTGAATTTAAGCATGAGATGGAATATCCACATATCCAACGAGGTGATATGCACACACAGACCTTTGCTTCGAAAGAAATAACTAAACGACTGAACTTCAACTGTGGATAAAACCTGCAGATTGAAGAACCATCAGTAACAGATGCATAAAATAATGCTTTATATGAAAACATGACAAAATAAAGTATATAACAATATAAAGAAAACCCTTAAGACAGCAATCAGGAAACTACTGAATTCCCATAACATTGTCATAACCATGGCAGCTTCTTAAGGAGCTGTTGACCTGACCATTCCCCTAAACTACTGAATTTCAACAACTATTTAATAAAACTTGCAAACATTATGGCCAAGTTAACCTACACCAGAATTTCCAAGTTTCATCCTTGTTAATGAACTCAGTTGGAGAGGATAAGAAAAAATTATGTTTCAATTGTTTCAGATGAAAATTCAAGCCAGAGTAAAAAACTTTTCAGGCTAATCTCTCCTTGGATCCTATCATAAGCAAACTAAGAGAAAGAAATGTCTAAAAATTAATGGAAAAGGGAGATTACAAGGAATTAAAGGACAAGCAACTATCCTTTCTTACATACTCTTAAAGATAGACTATTATGGCAAGGCTCACTTTAATTTAATGAAAAAATGTATTTCTAATTTCTCAGCATCAAATTATGGGTGCTACTAAATTGGAAGGAAAACATCAGGAATAAAAAACAAATTGATGTCCAACTGGCATTCATCAAGTTCTGTAACACTACTTACTATCTACAACAAGACTACAACAAAGCATTCAAGTCAATAAGTCATATCCTTTAAATAGTAGGCAATGCAGAAATTTGTGTCCCCATTTAACCATTCATCCTACTCCGTACCATGGCTAGCGAAGACTATTTCGGGTACCATTATTTATGTAGGCACACAAAACATACTGCACGCTAACAAGGGGCCAACAGAAGTTAGGAAGAGAGCACACTATTACGCGTGTTACAGAACTGCATTTTTTATCTTTGATTTCCCTTTTTGTTTTATTAAGAGGGGTGGGTCTGTAGTGAAAGTAAAGCCACGAATAAACCTACAAAATAATTTAAAGATGACCATCAGTACATTACTAAATACTAACATATGAGACTAAATACTGTTGCAGACTCCTTTGATTAAACAAAAGACGACACATACAACACTTCCAATGGCAAAAAAGACATACCTGGGTATAATCTTGGAAATTATATCTTTAGCATTGCCGACAAAAGTATCACTTGTATCACTCATTGAGATACAAAAGCTGCTACATAGCTATGTATTAAAAAATTCTGAAATTAGAAAGACCACACTTAAGCCTAGAAAAAATAAGTCTGAGAAAAGACAATTTTATGTCAAATGTCTTTGAACCTCATTTCCCATGGAGAGAAGTTCATTTTCATCTGGAGAAGAAAACCATCCATTCTTACAAGCATTCTGCAGAATAGATTGTAAAAGAAAAAAAGTTATAGGATGGTTGCATAATCTGCTATCTCAGAAGCCAAGGGAAGTACAGAGCAATAACACAAACTCCATATGGAAAGCAATTAAGTTCAAAGGAAAAAGCAGTCATAAAAAAAAGAAAAAATAATGAAGGTTCATCAACAAGCTAATGACAAACATGATCTGTAAACAAGTCACAGGACAATGTTGATGGTGCCACTTATGCACCAAATGTCCACAAGAGCAGAATAATGGTCAACTTTGTCGTGCTTCCAAATACAAGCAAACCATTTTAATTAAAATTAAAGGAGGACATTAGGCCCATGGGATTGCCATGCCAATTTTACCATGCAGTTCCAATGATATGTGCAGGTCTAATGAAACAACAGTAGACTGTACCTTACAGGTGGTACCATAGACCAAAGGAACTAACCATTAAGCCAAATTGATACAAATAAATACCAATTGGTACAGGTCAACACATGTCCATACCCAATATGTGGAACTCCTAGCTATATCCACATGTATCAATAAACAGAGATGCAAGGTATCAATTGAATACCAGAAGGCCTAGCAGCATGATGCCATAGATATAATCTATAAGGCAATTTTGCAATTTCAATAATGGATCCCCTAGCCCAATCAATTCATGTGGTTTAAGATTTATAAACTGAAGTTGTATTGCTTTTCAGATTTGAGATATTGTGTTTCAATCATTAAGCTAGCATTGACTTCAATAGAATTATGGGGCATTGTGATTGTTTGATTCCCATTAATTTACCAAATATTGTTTTCCATTGGACTTTCAATCATTGGGCTATCATGTTCTGTTTTCTATTAATTATTATATAGTGATTGTCTGCCTGATTCATTAAATTCCCAACTCTTTTTTCTATATTATGCTAGTGATATTTCAATTGGTCGATGTTGTTTTTATTTTCTTCTATTTTCCTCTTTCACAACAGGTTTAAACCTGGGAGACGGAATGGCTCCACCAACTGGGGAACACAGGCAACATTGGAAAAATCCTTGGTACACTTGGCCCACCACATAGCATTATTGTGACTCATTTCTATACTTCTTTCATAGTATACTGCAACTAAAGATTCGTTAACATTTCTATTCGCTACGAGCACACTTAAAAGCAGCATTGTGTACTAATATTCAAATTTTCCTTTTGTTAAGGCACATGCAAAATATTCTTTATCCAATTCATAACCACTAGGATTGCACATGGATGCTTCCAAAATTGTACTCTACAAATGTTGCCATGCAATTGCAATAACTGCAAAGACATAAATAACAGTATTTCATGACATGGATAAAAACACCATTTTTGTGTGATCGAAGGCAAATTACCTCATAAGAGAAACATATTTTCAGCAACTTACAGAGGAAAATAGGTTGACTATAGATGATTATCAGGAAAGCTATGGAAATACATTGTAGGTTCACCACAGGGATTTCTGTGACAGATCTTGAACTCTCCATGAGAGTGATTGTATAAGAGCATCAAAGCAAAGTGACAAAGCATCTTTGCAGACTCATGGTCAGAAAGCCAAAGACAAGACATATTGGCAGACTGCGACCACCAAAGATCTTAAATACTATAAGTTTCTCCAATCTCCAAGAAGCAATTGTGTGAAACTCAAAGGGAGCAAATATCAGATGGATGAGAAGAAATGGGATATTTTCCTCTCTTGCAAATCCCCAAGCCATAACAAGGACTCAAACTATGCATGCTACACTAGATAAGTAGGCAAAGGACTGAGTTCTAATCATCTGATACATTTGATAAGAGTTATTTTAAATCTAGGATCAAGTCCTTGTCACCAAAATCATAAGAACTATAAAATAAGCCATAATGTCAGGGATTCTTTATAACATGCTAGATGGTCGATTCTAATCAGGATGATGTATCAATCAACAACCGTCTGCAACATCTATCATGGAAAGTCTGAACTGCAATGAAGTCATAGAAATTTGACGTGTTGGTGGAAGTCATGATTAAGGTAGATTAGGTGATGGCAGCTGTCTGCTAAAATGGTAAATGCTCCTGAAATCAGTTTAAGTTTCAGCTAAAAATAGGCAATTAATGTGTGTGTATATATATATAGAGACACACAGACATATATACACATTAATGTCCTATTTCTATTCTTCCTGTTTTGGAGGATTCCATCACCAATGAAGATGGACAATTGCCAAAGCCTCCATGGACATATCCTTATGGAATAAAAATGTCATTCATATAAATACATGTACATGTATATAACCCCCAATGGTCTTGTTAGTGTTTTTGATAAAGTATTGAACCTTTAGATTTAGAGGGATTTTGATTGGAAATTGGATAGTTTCTTGCAATTCAAAAGTAATAATCACCCTTGAAACTTCATTTTATCTGACATGTGTAAGGTCATAAACCTAGATAATGAGACCAACTCAATTAGTAACTAGGCAAGCATATTGGACACGAGATTACTCGGATAACTAAAATACATGTTTAAAGTACTTAATTAAGTAGTCAATGTAACAAATAAAAGAAGAAAATGCTTGATAGTAGAAAGAAATGTGTGGGACTGTAAACCTACATGGTCAGTTCAATTCAATTAAAGACAAAATGCTATTTAGCTATCATCTATAAATATCAAATTGATAAATTCCGTACAAAAACTACTTAATTTGTAGTTTCAGTAAGAAATGCAGTTCATTTATCAAATTAACATGAGCCATAATCAGGTTTGTCGTGTCATTGCGTGCTTCTTGCAACTCACAGCTGCAGATAGAAAACAACTATATCACCCTGAGTCAAACTGATTGTGATCTCAGAGCTGGAAAAGGGCACTTACTAGATCTGTAAATCAAATTACCTTAGCAGAAATCATTAGCACCATAACGGCTGACTGAAGTGAAGGGTCATTCCGACGTTGATAGACCTACATAACACAAAAGTTACAGGATATATAATCCTCGAAAGTGACAAGATATATAACACAAACCTTCTTGACCGTTGCTCATCGATACTGAACCATACCAACACTTGGTACACTTATGGTATCAATACCGAACAAGATTTTAATTATTTGCAATAACCACCCTAAACAATAATCTACATGCTCTAAAACAAAAAAATAAAAAATAAAAACAAGACATACGAGAAACCCATACAAGTATACTAAATATATATTGTTGGTGCAATCAGATATTTGAAATAGTTAGTTTTGAATAGCGAGATATTTTGTGATAGCAATAATTAGCAAGATCATATATTTTGAGTGTTATATCCAGGACAAAGATTAGCAAGATCTTATATTTTAACTATTATATCCTTGACATGAAATAAAACTAATAAGAGAATCAGTAGAATTTCAATGTGCAATTCTAATATTATCAGATGTGTGTCATCTTTTTGTTGCATAAAATTTACAATAAATTTCCAAAAAAACTATCATAGGGCCAAGTAGCTTACAAATAGCTTGTTCATATTATGTTCAAATAACAACCTTCAATTTGTTATTTAGTAACTGGTAACAAAAACAAGCAGCTATAAGCAACATCCATGACAAGCGTGTCAAATAATGTTCACCTAGTTTGCTAAGTTCAAAAACTAATATTACAATTCTATTACAATTTGCACGCAGACTTCATGTCCTATCTTATTGCAACACCAAAATAGCTACAAGTTATAACATTTATAAAAAACAGATAAAAATTTCAAATCGTTACTACAAAAGATAACAAAATAAGCAACTAAAAGCAACATTCATAACAAGAATGTCCAAATAATGTTCAAGTATTTTGCTAAACCAATAAAATTTAGTATTACATTTCTATTACAATATGCAAACAGACTTCATGTCTTCGTCTTATGACAACACCAAAATGACTATCATAACATTTATCAAAATATCAAATTTATTCCTGGGTTCAGGAGAACACCTCAAGAATATACCTGTTTTATTAATGAAGGAAGACGTTTGGCAATTCCAGGAATATCGTTGCTTGAGAGGGCATAATCAATACCTCTGTGTTTACCAGAAAATCTTCATTAAGTACAATAAGAAAAAATCACTTTATTACAAAAAGAGCTCAACTACGGTTGTTACGACGTAAGGAATTCAAGAACGTCTTACGACTTTGAAAAAGAACCTGTAGAAAGAAACTTGGCGATGACTGACCTAGCGAGGGCGAAGACGAGACGGAAGAGGTCCGACGGGCTCAAAGAGATGCCGCCGCGGAAATACAACTCGAGGCGCTCCGCGACGGCACTGAGGCGGACGTTGTTGGCCGCCAACACCGTCAACTGATTCTGGGCTGCCGCGGCGAGAGCGGCGGACGTCTGCCGCGGCATGTAAGCGGGAGGCATCGCCACCGCGGGCCGCTGGAGGCGCGGAGGAGGAGCAGATGGCCTCGAAGTCGCCATTGCTCGGCTGCTTAATCTATGTCCTCAAAGACCCGGAGACGAAGGGGGGAGCAAATTAGGGTTTATTAAAAGCTTCAAGGACAACTTTAGAATTTTCTTACAGGAAAATTATATGTCGTGCAGGGACTTTTCCACTCGGTACCCACTTACCCGCCTCCGCTTACCTGCTTGTAATTGAAGACTTACGTGGGACCCACCATCCCTACTCCTCAAGAAATCGTTGAAGTGGATGCAAAACAGCTAGGTAGGAGTCGCGTTTAGAGGGGTCTGTCGGTACACCACCACTCATCCAAAAATGCACCCTTCTCTTAAAAACGACGATTTCCTTTTTGGAACGTCTCGATTTTAATTTTCTCCTTTATTTTTATTTTTTTTTATATATTTTTATTTACTATATATATTTTTATTTATTTATTTATTTATTCATTTTTTTTATTTTATTTATTTATTTAAAAAATACCTTACATTATTTCGGATTCACATTATCGATCATCGTTTTTGTCTCACAATAGTCATCCTTACCTCATCATATTACTACTACCATTTGATCTTCGCTTTATGTTGATTCAAAATGATAACATAAGAGATCCATTAGAATATCACAGAAGAAAAGAAGATGATCACATCTAAGGAAAATATCGCAGAAGAAAAAGGAGATGATCACATCACGCGACACAATCGAGTTAACTAAGGTAAATTTAAAGAATATATAAATATGGGTATAAATATTTATACCCATATATTTTTTTAAAAATATGTAATATATATATATATATACTTTAAAAATATATAAAAATAAAAACTAATCATTCATCGATGATAATAACATAAGGTGTAAATACAAGTAGAAATTCTAGTAAGTAAAATTAGAGATGACATGCATATCCTTGTTAGCAACCTAAGTATAAATGATCAATTGGTTACTCACTCTAAAATATATCTCTAAATAAGAAGATATATATAATACAATTGAAATATTACTATGTACACTCCTTATTTACTATTTATATTTCATTTTAAAATTATAAAAATTTCTAAACTACTCCTAAATACTTTATTTTCTTTTTTCTCCTCCTCTTATTATTCTTCCTTCTCCGCGAAAAACATAAAAAATGACGAACAAGATTGAACAACATCAAACAACGTTACTGAGTATAATGTTTTATAATGTTGTTTATAAACTCAATTTTCTTCTTAGTTCATTTATAAAAAAAAATTATAATATATTACTATTATTTATTTTTCATGCAACGTTTTTATTAGACTCTTATGTGCACATGACATGTTACTCCGACAGCATACTTCTTAGATGATCCCAACTAAGAATGTGATAATAAAGATAAATTTTTATGTATTTTTATATGAGTTGAGTTCAGTTACCAAATCAGAGTCGGATCGTATTGGGTTCGACCATTGTGATCCGACCCGATTTGACCTAACCTTACTCGAATTCCTAACAGCTTCGCTATAGTCTCCGATACCTACACATCTTTTCACACGAAAGCTGTTCACAGGCTATTCATTTCAACTTCCAACCGCTTCTTAAATCAAGGTTGCATTCCCTTTCTCTGTATTCATCCTTCACCCACAACCGCAGTCTCTCTCTCTCTTCCGCCATGAGCGCGTCCCCGTTGGCCGTCAGCATCAAGCACCCAACCAGCGACGAGGAAGACCTCGCCCCCATGCCCATCCGCCGCCACCGCCGGCGGTGCCTAATCTACGGTGGCTCCTGCGCGGCTGTCCTCGTCATCCTCACCGTCGTCATCGTCGCCCTCGCCCTCACCGTATTTAAGGTCAAGGAGCCCATCATGACCATGAACAGCGTCACCGTCCAGCGGCTGGCCATCGCCTCCGGCGCGCCCTCCTCCACCACCCAGCCCTTCGCCATCAACATGACAGTCGTCGCGGACGTGTCGGTGAAGAACCCCAACGCCGCCAGCGTCCGCTTCGGCGCCAGCACCACGACCCTCTACTACCGCGCCCGCGAGATGGGCGTCGCCCGCGGGCCCCCCGGCACCGCTCGGGCGCACCGCACCTTCCGCCTCAACGTGACGGTGGACGTCATGGCCGACAGGATCTTCGGCGACGCCAACCTGTTCGACGACCTGGCGGGGGGGAGCATCGCGGTGACCACGTCGACCACGGTGGGCGGCCGGGTGCAGGTCCTCGGGCTGTTCAAGCATCACGTGGACGTGACGATGAACTGCAGCATCACCATGGCCGTGGCCAATCAGTCCATCGTGGATCAAAACTGCGCGCACAAGGTTCGGCCGTGAAGACGACGACGACGATGGTACCTTCTTCCCTTCTCCTCGTTCTTGTTCGCGTCGAGATGCAGGCCGCCGGTGAATATGACCATAATTGGTTAGGTCCGTGTCAACGTTGACAGGCAGGGAGTGGGTTGACGATAAAGCCATGTGAAGACATTAATGAGACGGGTCGGACCTCATTCGTCAACGGCTGAGTCGGGAACGTGATCCCATCTCTGTTCCACATGATAACACGTTAATGTGATAGATGATGAGAGGATCATTGGGTACAGGAGAACAACTACATTACTGCAGTTTAAATCCAAGCTCGTCTTTCGACGTCTTGTTGCTTTCTTCTGTCAAAAAGCTCGAAAAGGTGGCGGATTTCCAGGGTAAGCGAACTGAAAAGCCTACAAGCATGCAGAGGAGAGAGATGATGGGATGCACCGCACATTCGTTGCTCCACCATGTCGCAAAGAGATTCCCGAATTATGCTGCAGCTTTCCCAATGCCATGGGAATCTTTTGCCTCCCTCCCTGAAATGCCGTTCTCACCATTCATCATTGCATTCTCCATCTCTAATCACTGCCTCACACAGTCAACATAACGAGTAAACAACCGCTACAAACGACAGGGAGATAAAGACACGTTTTTTGCCCTTCTTTTTTTCGATGTTCGTATCGAAATCGGACGACCAGGAATAAGCGCGGCTCAGATCGCAGCTGTGATCGCCCATCGCACGGATCGGGTCGACGTTGGGGATATGCGGGAGAGTGGATCCACTAGAAGTCACCGGCGGTGAATCGATCCAGGATGGGGTGCGTCAGCGCTTGCGTGTCTTTGTCCGGGGCGGTGAACGAACGCTTGCAGTGCGCGATGGCGCTCTGGATCCCGTCCTGCTGCTCCAGGAGCGAGTCGTCGCGTCGCTGCGGTGGCGGTGAAGGGACCGCGGCCACGGCTGCTGACGCCGGCCGGTTCTTGCCTGGCCGCTTCCCGACCATCCTCAGCCCGGCTGGGAGTCCCTTGTCCTCGGCCACGCCCGCTGCGGGCGCTGGAGCTGCTTCCTGTGGCTCCTCCGCCCCGGGCCCAGTCTTCGGCGGCGCTGGCTCTCCGGGACGTTTCGGCTTCTCACCCTGCTTCCTGGAACGCTTGATCATGTTGAGGTACTTATGGACGACTTCCCTCGCGTACCTCTTCTCCTCCGCTGCTACAACCGCCGCGGGGACGCTGGCGGCGGTGTCCCCTGGCGGATTTGCGACCCCGTCGGTGGTGGAGTTCCGGGGGCTGTTGTCTCGTGCGAATAGCGAGATGATGGGCACGTCTTCCGCCTTAAACTTGACGAAGAACCTGTTCTGATGCCGCTGAGGTTGCTGCTTCGGCGACGCAATGCCCACGGCGGTGTCCGGCTTCGCCGCGGTGGGTTTGGGCCGACGGAGCCGGGTTAAGAAGACACGAAACTTGGCGGCGGGTTTGAGGAGGGAGACTACCGGGACGTGGGGTTTGTTTTCGGGCTGGGAGGCAGCGATCATTGGCGAAGAGGGCTCCAAAGGGACGAGCTTTCCCTTGAAGAAGAGGCCGTCAGAGGGGGATAGACCCTCAGCACGGATGCCGTCACATTCTCCTCCTCTTCCGACGCCGCTGCCGACAGGGCTCAGCTCGAAGTTCAGCTCACCCTCCGACTCCGCCCCAGAGCCGTCATCGGACCCGCCATCATCGACGGAAAGGGCGGTGAACTCGAGGTCGAAGAAGGGGCCTTCGTCGTCGTCTTCGCCGCCATCATCCGATGTCGCCGAGACGGGATGGGGGAAGTCGGCGGCGGCGGTGGAGATGGAAGAGCGAATGGCGGCGGCGACGGTGGCTCCGCCGCCGCCGTCGCGCCAGTACTTGAGGAGGCTGAACGATTCCATGGTCGGGAGAGCCAGAGGTGAAGCCGACCTGTAAAACTCTTTGCTTCCTATTACTACGAGCAAGAGGCAAGCTTTTCTCACTGCGTAGCTTTCCCTCTCTTCCCACTCCTTTTTCTCCTAACTTTTGATGGTCGTCCAAGGAAAGATAGCGCAAAGGGGGTCTTAAAAGAAGGATGGAGAAAGAGAGAGAAAGAGAGGGACTGAGATACAGCGCAAGGGAAAAAGCAATGTGGAGGAGACGAGAGACAGAGCAGAGAGGAGGGTGCAAACACTGAATCGATGGCAGCAGAGCAGACGAATGATATGTTTCGTGCCATGACTTTTCCGGTGCACGAGAAAGAGAGAGAGAGAGAGGGAGAGGGGCTGTGTCATACAGTTTCATGGATATGGGTCGTTTGACTTTGACCACCGGGCGAGCATCGTTACGTATAAAGATTGCACAGTGACGAAGCCGTGCTGACCACGAGGAATGGAGCGTCCCATCGCATGCAGCCCGTCCGATCAACATCAACGACGTGGGAAAGCTGAGCCCGATTCTTAAAGCTGAACCACGTCATCATTCGTGTATGCCTCCTACTATATACGATTGTGTACGACAGAGAGTATAAACTGGCAAGTCCAAAGAAGAATTTACCGTAGACAGAGAAGCAACAGAAAAGAACACCACCAGACATTCACCTGTAGAAATATATCTCACGACAAGCACAGACGGAGAGTGACGAGAATCAAACACCTGCGGTCAAGATTACAAAACCAGCAAAATGGTCCCAAAGTTGTTTGACATTGGGAGAAGCAACAAAATCTATGTAGGAAAGTAACTTGGATGGCAATGACACAAATGGCAGACTTAATCCATACAGTCAAACTCCTAATAAACCAGAGTAAATGATGAGGTTAATAATGAAGAGTAACAGTATAAAATTACACCACATCTGAAAGAAAAAGGAAAAAAGATCACACAAGCTACAATATTTACATTTTCATCACATATTAACAGAGCTTATTGCGAATGGTGCGGATTAAGGGGAGAAAACCTACAGCAAGCATTTGCTTCTCTAAACTGCACAGGTTCTAGACACTACCATACATCACCTCATTCAGTCAGGAGGAGGTACAGTTAAATCACAGGTATGTTTCAACCAGTAACTTATTGGAAAGATAGGTTTTTCCCAAACAGCTAAGTCACTAATCATATATACCGATATTGTGCCAGAGACATCCGAGTTACACAGGGAATAACACACCGAAGGACCCAAATTTCTAATATCAGACCCACTTGCCACCCATAATGTGTGGAATCCCCGGTTTGGAATTACCAACATCAACTTTGGAATTACCATCATCAACTTGGCTTGCAGAATCACCACCGAGACCTGCATTGCTAACAAGCATTGCTACAAGACTCCCACCATGCACTCTACCTTCTGGAAGAGAAGCCATCATAGAATTAAGAGGGTTTGTAGGATGAATATATTCTGTCTGATGAATCCCGCTCCAGCCAAAGGTCATATTCTTTCGATTTTCTATCTCCAAGAACCTATCGGGATCAACAATCTCTTTCATCTTCTCAGGTTTGCTGGGTATCTGATGCTCGGAATTCACAGTGACCAGTTGATGCCCACCATGGACACAGTGATCTTCCACCAGTGCAGTGTGTGCAGCACAGAGGCCGAGCTTCCCCCTAGCAAATCGGTCACAAGGGGCGCCATCAGTACCAATGTTGGACCCAGGTTGGCCCCACGTACAGCGGTTACCTCCCCCATGTGCCTTGCAGAAATCAGTGCTACCCTGAGCGCTCTTTCCACAACCCTCAGTCTTGCATCTCTTACCACCACCATGACGTACACAGAAATCTGTCTTTCCTCTGGCACTTTTGGTGCAATTCGGCACAGCACACCTTTTCCCACCACCGTGAGCTACACAGAACTGGGTACCACCATGCACGCTCTTTGTACAACCACCTTGAAATGCACAGCGCTTCCCTCCACCATGTGCTTTGCAGAAGGGTGTGCATCCTTCAGCCCCTTTCGTGCAACCCAAGTATGTGCACCTCTTACCTCCACCATGTGCCTTGCAGAAATTTGTGCTGCCCTGTGCACCCTTCGTACATTCAGGATATTTGCAACGCCGTCCACCCCCATGGGCGATGCATAAGCCAGAATGACCTTCTGCACTCTTGGTGCAATTCTCTCTTTGGCATCTCTTGCCACCACCATGTCTTATACAAAGACCAGATTTTCCTCTTGATGCTTTAGTGCAGCCTTCGTGGCTGCATCTACGGCCACCACCATGAGCAATGCAGCAGTCGGTGCGGCCTTCAGCACTCTTGGTGCAGCCAAGGTACTGGCATCGCTTGCCACCCCCATGGGCTTTGCAAAAGATGGTTCTGCCCTCAGCTCCTTTGTGACAGCCATCTTTCTGGCACCTCCGACCACCACCATGGGCTATGCATAGCCCAGAAGCACCCCTGGCTCCTTTTGCACATCCTGGAAACTGACAATTTTTTATGTTACTATTGCGTTGTTGTGTTTGAGTAACCCCGGAAGCGGCAACTGAATTTTTCAGCATTTGAGTCATGGTTGAAGAAGAGCAATCTTGCTGTTCAAGACAAAATTTGGCATAATTCATTCCATCAGGGAAAAAACTACTAGTTTTATCAATGCTATTTATATATGGCAATAATTTATTCCCATTCTTCCAACGAGATGATGTAGATCCTTCATCAAGTGCTGACATCTGACTAGCAGTTATTGGGTTGTCCAAGATATAATCATGATGAACTGAGACTGGAGTTACACCAGTAATAACTGATTCAGATGGGCCTATGGATAAACTTAACTGAACGTCAAAGTTAGGCTCAATATTCATCATCTTTGAAACAGCAAGAGCAGGTTTCTTTGTGCTGTCTGTATTTTCACTACCAAGGTAAAGATCAAAATTTAATCCAAGATCCATGGAGGACCCGTCGTCGGTTTCCTTGACTGAAGACATGGTGCAAGCTGTTGCAGAGCTCTTCTTGCTGCTATCTGAAGAACTTGATGGTCGGCCTAAATCTAGGGCTAAGGAAGCCTTTCCCATACCACTTCCATCAAAATCACACCACTTCCTCTTTATCCCTTTTGAATTTAGAAAATCCAGACAGGCTGAACCAGGAGAGCCAATCCGCAATGTGGTATCAGTCTGATTTTGAGCCAAAATCCTAAAAGCATTTCTGGATGGGACATTCAAACTATATCCAAAAAGCCCAAGCCTATCATCCATAACAGCTATTGGCAGAAAAGATCACAATCTCAACAAAATCTTGACAGGAAAAAACAAGTTGCCTGACTTCCGGGGCTGATTATGTTTAAGAATCAAAACAAGTGTTCATGGTTTCTGAGTCATTGCAACCTCCGCTAACAAATCCTGATGTATCACGACGATCCATCTACTAAAAAAATTGACTAGTTGTTTATGTACTTAGCAGTCGCTGAAGCTTGGCATCAGATCCTGATATTCAGAAAACTGGTACCATCAAGGATGATCAAAGCAGTCAAATTTTCCTGTCGAACAAACTAATTAGAACATGACTCGCTAAAATTAGGGGAATCATCTAATTAGCTTCTGCACAAAACCAGCTACAAGAGTAAATATACGACAGAAAAATTCACCAGCAAATCTCATTAATTCCCAAGAAAAAGCACAAAAAGAAGAAAAGAAAATACCCCTACGAAAGGATAATAGACCAGGAAGTCAAATATCCTAAAAAAAACATCCAGCAAAGCTGATTCCAAAAACTTAACAAGTGCATAAACATTCCATCTCAGGGAAAAAGTGCTTCTTCAAATTGGAAGTTACATAGTAAGAACCACAAAAAACTAAAGATTCATTATGTAGTAGTTTACAAGGTTGAACACCATACTTGCTAGTTTAAATTGGTAGCTGATGCAAGAGCTTAAAGAAAGAGTGCGTGTACATCAGCAAATTTCTATCTACTATAATAAAGTGACACATAAAATGAAGTAATATCACGTCTTTCTATCTGCTATCTTAGGTTGAAGAGATGCAAGAGATTTAAAAAAGTGACAACCATAGCAAACAAAGTGGAATCAAAGAATCAATCAGCAACTCATCAAGAAATTTTTATAATGCCACGTATCCCAGCTACACCTGATGTATACATAAATGTAACAGCTATTTAAGTGCTAGATCAAATTTTAAATCCAAGAAGGCACCAAAGGACTGGTCAAAAGGGAATACAAGCTAAGTGCCTAGTGTGATGTGCATCAGACTCTATAAAAGGCAGGATTACAGGACCAAAATGTTTCTGATTGGTTACTGGGAGCTACATATAGCTACATAACTATGCATGTCTGTGTACAAAATTAAATTGGAACACCTACTTCAAATAAATCTCTCTGACCATATGTTTTGATAATTTCTTACATCATGTAACCTTTTGCTTAAAGACAGGTTAAATTGAAACGCAGAGGAAAAAAGGAAGGAAGTTTCATTATCTTACCAAAATTTCAGACAACCATCATATATTAGAGAGTAGATACAGGGCATTCAATTTGTACTATATCAGGAAGTTAGTAGTTTTTCCTCCCACAGTTTGTGCTGGTTTAGATTAACTAAACTAACTAATCAAATTTGTGTCATGTGGTTGTCAAATCACACAGGCTTTTATTTCAATCCTTTCTTTCTCTATCTTCTCCATGTGTCCCTTTTTTCTTTCTTCTTTTCTATCATTTATACTACCGAGAATCAATTCAGTTATGTGATCGTCTAACAAATAACTTGATTATTCTGGTGGTCTTGTATTCTTATAGAAGCAAGTCCATTATACTCTTTCCTGTCGACAGGAAAGACAAGCCTTATGAAGCAGAAATATAGGAAGGGAAACCAAAATGGCACAACACAATACACCAATATGCCAAATCTTGAATAGTAGGTGATGATAAGGCACAAACATCATATGAAATATTTAAAAAATATAAAAATGTCAAAGCTCGAGATTTTCTTAATAGGGTCAGAATATCGAGTTACACAGCCTACTAAATAATAACCAATAATTAACTAGCATCCCTAAGCTATTCATTATGAAGAAAATAATTTCATTAACATAGTATTTCACGAATGTAGATGACCCCAAGTCATTGGGACATAAGTGCAGATTCTTGTCATCGTAGATAAAATTGGCAAAATCTTACTAGAAATAAATGCCATTGTGTTAGCTTCATTAATCACAATCTAATGCTAAATGCCACAAAAGAACAGATCTAATGAAATATGCAACTTGTATATAATTAATTCATGCAAACAAAGGTCTCTCAAGGTATCTACAACGAACAGAGTCAAAAGGCTTCACTAATTGTTCAAATATCACACATTTTAAAGAAATGTTCGATATGTATCCAGAAGAATCTTACAAGTATTATGTTTCATTTGTACCCAAATAAAACAAACAATTCAAATTTCCATGTTTCCTAAGGCAACCACTGCATAAGGCAACAGTGCTTCCTTAATCTGCAGTATAGCAAAGGAATTTTCTGAGACAGTGAGACAACAGTCCTTTGCCACATCAAAGCAGACGGCAACTATCCTTAACAAGAATTATATGGTCCATGTAGAAGCACCTATTAAAAAGTAAGCCTATCCACATTATATGGGTTTATTTAAGTCTATTCTAATTGTTAACCTATTGACACTACAAAGTATATATGGTTTGATTCTCTTTGTCTCCTGTTCTTTAGGGTAATACAGTTCTCTTGTAGAATAATATATTGGCTTCTAAAAAAGTTGGTCACATTCTTATTTCTCTATAATAATGTTGTAAATTTAACACAGACAGAAATTATGAAAGTCCTAGAGAGACTTCCCATTCTTCAGCTTTACAGTAGTCTCTGTGATACATTCCCATGCATAATGCCTTGAACTTGTTACTGACTAAGCCTATCCTCTTTACATTCTCAATGCTTCTAAGAGAATCTTGTCATTCTTCCATCTCTCCGTCCTGTTCCTTTCTCCTTTTTAATCATATATTCCTCTTTGTGTTACTTCCTTAAACTATGCTAGACTTGGATTGTTGAAAACTGCAAGTTCTTCAACTCTGCAGGCTGCTGAGTTGCTTTTACTGGAATATTGGGCTATGTAAATAAGAAAGCTGCTATTTGACAAATATAAGGAAAAAAAGATGAATGGAACAAAACACAAACAAACTGCCATTTGACAGTAATGAAGAAGCAGGTTTGGGCAGTCCTTATGTGTTTACGACATGATATTAGCAAATAAATAAAAAAATAAAATTCTAACCTAAGAAACCAACGTTTCCTGAATAGCTTGAGTTTGATCTCATGTCAAACTCTTAAAAAAAAGAAAATCTTGCTCAAAGATCTGAACTGTCCAAAGTAAACTCGTACCAACCCAAGCTAACTAACCGGATTTAAACCAATCAATACAATTGGATAAAATCAAACAAAATAACAATTCAAACACACAATCTAAACACACGAAACTTGCTTTCCAATTGGGAGATGCTAGAAGTACAATGAAAATGATCACATGTTCTACAATGACAAGATAATATATCACTGAGATCATTAAAAACATTATGGTAAGATAAATCCTTTAAGAAATTTAATTTATATAATCGAATACTCACAATATGCACAAAAAATAAAGAAAAAGGTTTCTTAATAAAATCAACAAGTAGATACTAAATTAAAGCTGCTCAAATACTTGAAACATACTTAATCAAAGATAAAGAACCTGATACATATATGCTAAACAAATTCAAGATAACTATGAATCAGCCAGAAGAGGATCTCATAGTAACAAAGTCTAAACAACAACATAAAAGTCAAACCGACAAGATTAAGCATGCATGGATCTTGATTAAAAACTAGCAACCTCTCAAGTTGCAATCAGCTTGAGAAAGTAAACGAACCTCGAAGACTTGAGGAAATGATAAGCAACAGATAAACCCAGACCTCGAGGGAATACAGACAGGCGACGACGGGAGAATCTATCTGAGGCAGATAAAAGTAAGAAAAATAAGCAAAACAAGTCTAATACTTCAAGCTTGTTCACCATAACACAATATAACTAACAGCTAATAATCTAACAAGATCTACAAACTCATCTGGATAACATTCAGATTTAGTGATACCAACTTTAAGAAGATCTCGGTATATCACTACTTCCCTTCACTTACCGGGCACGGAAATACACGGAGAAAAATCCACAACGTCCAACAATGAACAGAACTTCTAAATCCAAAACCCCAATAAAAACGCAAGAACAAATAACCACAAAACTAATAAACAATTGTCTTCTCTATAGAATCGAAGCCTTCCGACCAACAGTATCACCGATATAGCACAAAGTCCACATCCATCAGAGGCATGGAACGAGAAAATTACATCAAAACACCAAATTTCTCAGAACCGAGTGCGAAACGGAAAGGAAGAAAACAAAGATCTAGGACTCGGCTATAAATAACCAGAAGTCCGAGGCACAAACATTAAGCGACAAAATGAAATGGAAAGGCACCCAACATCGAATCGAGGATACCAAAGAACAAGGAATCGAAGATCCCCAGGGGCCTGAGATCCCAAGCAAAGCGGTAGAAGCTAGGGTTTTCTTCGTTTCGTTTGCTTTCTTTTCCCTGTCCCCTTTCTCCGCCAGCTTCTCTCTCGGTCTTGCGGACGACAGCGGAAACCACAAACCACACACCGAAGAGAATCGAAGACGCGACGCGGATTGGGTTAAAGGGCCGATTTTTGTTTCGCATTTATACCCCTAAGAATATTTGTATTACCGAACATATTCGTCAAAGTTGAGGTTTGCATTTGCATATATTTCCCTGCAGGTGCAGTATGATAAAAATACTCCAGCTTTTCTTTATGACGTCATAATTATCTCTTGTTCTTTTTGGTGGTTTGTAATTACCTCTTCATAAAACAAGCATTAACTTGGTGCATATTTTATTATTTATATATAGCCGTCTGCTGGAGCACGATAAGGAGGGCGGCGCACGATAAGGTCATTTCCCTGTGTCAGATTCAACGGACGCGGCGGGACCCATTTTAAATTTTTCCTACTCCTTCTTGACTGTACCCAAAATTACTCGCATGGTGATTGGTAATAATGACGCGACGAGAGCTTTTTGCTGGAGGTAACGATGGGTTGATATCAATAAATTAAAATGAAAAGTCCAATATAAACTCAATTTACTGTTGATGAAGAAACGATAATTGGGCTGTGGGATGGTGGATTCCACCGTATCTACCACCCACCGTTTATGGATTCCTTGGGAGATTCTTCTGTCCACTATTTCATGACTCACTGCTCTCGCAACTTGCTACAATATCTTTTCCTCTATTCTATTCTATTGAGATCATAATCTTATTACCATCAAGTTTTTCTTTCTTCCATTGTTTACTACTTTTGTTGTTGGTCTGACTCAGGTACTTGTTGTGAGTGATTCAAGCATCTCTCACTATTTTTCTGGGAAGAAGTGGGGTTAAGTGACCTTTTGTTTATCTCTCTCTAGTGTTGACGAGGATCTCCATTCATAAAGGTTGAAACCAGCAAGCAATGAGAGCTGTAAAGTTGGAACACTCCTGCAGATTTCTTTTTTGGTTCCCATCAGATTTCAGGGAATTGTACTGTATGTTCTCTGCCTCATCTCCACTAGTGTGGATTCAGCCATCTCCCCAACTGTGTTAGAGACAGAATGAAGAGAATAATGGCATGAAGATGAACAAAAGTTTGGGCCATTATCAAGTGGGCAGTGCAGGGAATTAGATTCTAATTCGGCGGTGGGCATTGGCACACAGCACTCACTCTGCTCAGCAGATCTTCTTAAAAGAAATAATAATTCTAACCAGTTCAGCCATTTCAGAGCAGATGTGGCCTTTATTGGTTTATGCAAATCAGAGTTTTATGTGCATATTTGTTTTTGGTGAAGAAAAATTTTGATGATGCATCAGTCTTCTGTTACATGAAGGAAAAACCTTTCCAAATAAACAATAATCACATCCTCTTCATGCTTTAGGTGCTTATCTAATCTGGAATTTAGATATCCAAGTTTCAGTCCTCTTCATGTTATCTTGTGCTTGAGTAGATAAGCATCCATCTCTAATGTTTAAACTTGTGAAGTGTCAGTAGCATCACAACACACAACAAATCTACAATACTTGACTACAAACAAATCTTCAGATCAAATAAAGGTTCAGATTAGGTAATGCATCTGCGCTTACCAAATGACTGTTGTTTGTCAATGGTTCACTCGTTTTCTTGGTTGCATGACCCTTAAAAGATGCAAATAAAAGAAAATTCATGGTGTCTACAGAGGACTTGAATAGTAGACCAGTGGTAGACTGAAGATGAAATTTCTTGGTGAAACATGTGTGCAGAATCAGGAGATAAAATAAGTTTCTGGATCATGTTATTTTGGTGGAATTCACTGACATTAATTGATGAATTGCACAGCTAGTCAACTATTTTGTTTGGTCTCCTGCAAGCTTGTTCTTCATTGCCCCAAAAGTCCAAGCTAGTTTTTTTATGTGCTGCCTGTGACAGAGCTCTGTTCTGATGTCATTGCTCTTGCTAAATCCTGAGTGTTCTCCAAGAAACAATCCTTTAGCTATGATCTTTTGTTAGTAACAGGAAAGAACCTATGACTTCCTCATGTATAATTAGATTAATGATGAGTACTGTTCTCCCTACTTTGTCCCCCACCTAATCATGATCTAATATGCAAGATGCAATCATTATAAAATGCATCTTGCCATTACCTAATTGATCCTGACAAACAACTGAGTATGAACCTGTTCACCAAGTGTGTGGCAATTCACTTCACTAAAATCCACAGATGAAGAAAAGAAGTGCAGGCAAGGAACATCCAACAACCAAGTTTATTGTTTAGTGAAAAGAGTGATTCAGATTCAGAATTGACCTTTGGATTAATCCGACTTCCTTTTCTTCCACATCAGAAACACACATGCATGGAATCCATTCACACTTCACATCCTCCCCTTCTCCTGTGTTTTGACTGCCAGAAAGTTGTATGCATAAAATTAAAGAAAGATCAAGATGAGAGCCTTCCAAAATTGAAATTTAGCATCTACAGATGGAAGAAGCTTAATTAGCTCATCTTCACTGCAGGCTCTGGAAGTCTTTTTAATCTAGTCTCTCTTCTTTATCGTATTCTCTGCTGTGCAAAGGATGCTTTGATCTATCAATCTGCTGCGTGGATAGATAATTGTCCTGATATTATTCTTTCATTATTATCATGTACTTTGAAAGAATTGGAGCTGACTGATGCAGGCCATGGCCTTTTTCTTGGGAACCCCCAAAATGAAAAGGAGAGTTGGTATGGATCTGATGAATCTTGAGCAAAGATTCGTTGGTCCCAGTGAGAGTAAGTCCAGCGAGTCCTCACCTGTCCTTTAATAAAGCAGGGTGATTTAGGTAATCCATCATGGCAAGAAAACAAGGAAAGAATCACGAGATGATGAAAGCATACTACTAGTTGGAATTCAATACTAGTTTGCCAATAACATGTGATGTGAGCAATTAAGGATCCCTTGCAAGTGCACATTGACTATGGTTTTCTACTGACTGCATCAAAGAAAAAACAAGCAATGGAGTTTCTTGGACACTTATTTTGCATTGGTTCACATACAATGTGACTCATTTCTTAATTGGTTAGAGAGTCAATATTCCGAAATTGGGTTAATTCATTGGAACATCTGTGCAAGAAGTTGTCCATTGCTTCATAGAATTGTCTAACAAGATCAATACGTGACTTCATTCTCTGCTAGCATTTTCATAGGAAATTTACCGATAGTTATAATGCAACCATCACTTATGTCATCCTACGTTTGTCTACGTGTATAAAGAATCATAATAGAAAAATATGAACTTTCTTCTTGTTTATTATGATAAGAAAGAGAAACACAGACTCCTTTATTTTTCTTTATAACAAGGAGAATAATTCTAAACCCTCTTATCCTCCTTTATGAGAAAATACCCTTATTCGAATGTTTAAAAATATATCATAAACAAGAATAAAAATATCTTTAAAAAGAACTACTTTAACTTATATTTGAGATCTCAAATTACTAACTTGAGAGTCATGAGTCAAGAAACCCCATCTGACCCTAATCTTTATATAAAAAACACATCGGGAGTATAATATTTTCACCTCGGAGTCATCTCAGATCCATCTCGGAGCTATCTCATATACACATTTTTACTTTGGAATCATCTCACAGTCTTATGTGCATGCGTATGAATAGGTTGATTAAAATATGAATGATATTTGTTTATTATATGTAAACACAGTCATGCTCATGAAGCATGGTTTGTAACGTGGAAATCCAGTTGAAGGCCCGTCTGCTACAAAATGGGCCGCCTTCCGATCCATCTAGAATAATAACAGCTCATCCGTCGGAAGGGAAGCGGGAAAGGTCGAGAAGCGAGGCGAAGCTCGTCCGGTCAGCGTCAAGAAGCCTCTCGAGCGTTCGATGAGTTCCTCGCCATTGCCCCTTTAAAAGGGAAGACGATGGCGTGCGTTATCTCACAGGAACATCGAGAAGCTCTCCGCAAGCGACTGAGGTTTCAGTAGAGGGAAAGGAAAGAAAGGGTTGGCGGATCGTTTCGCGTCGATAGCCGGGTCATTTGGTTCGTGGGATCGCCCGGAAGGTTCGTCTAGATATCATCTCTTTCTCCCCCTCTGGTCACTCTTTCTTTTCCCTTGCTCGTGTAGGATTCTTGGTCAAAGAATTTCGCTGTTGTAGCTTGGAATCTTGGTTGATTGTCGTGATATTGCGGTACCCTGATGCCGAATTTGATCATGTGTTATGGAGATTTTGTAGTACGGATACCGCGGTAGGGTTATGTTTGAGTTACTTTTATTCGTCTTGATCTGGATTGCTGGATTGGTTCTTAAAATGAATCAAATTTATTCGGCAACGGAAGTAGGAGAGGGGATGCTGCTCTATCGCGGGGATTAAGTAGAGATTATCTGCCTCAGATGTTTGCGTTTCCGCTCCTTTTCAATCATTAGTTGGCAGCAATAGCACATGGTTTAAGATAGTACAGGCATCGCACTTGTTCCTCAATAGTAGCGATAATATGAAGTGATCTGTGTCTCTTCGATGAAGGAAAATGGTCATCTTGTTGCTTTCCATGTTATTTTGCATCTGCCCTAAAAGCTTAAATATTTAGCTGGACTGATAATCTCGAACATTGTGGATCTCTTTATCATCAAGGCAAAGGTTCAACAAATTCTGGACATCCATATTTTAGGAGTTTGAAAATTATACTACTACCTTTTCTACTTTTAGTAACTCATTCGACTTCCAGTCGTTCGAATCATGCCTACATGGACCAATTGATTTCCCAAGTCTTTAGCTTAGTATGTTTGTTGAGTTGGCCATTGTATCTTCTTTGAGGATTAAGGTGGCAAAGATTTTCCTGTTAGCTAGTCGATTTGCTGCAATCTTTGTTTTTTCCCCTTTCATTTGGTCGGAAAAGATATTAAAAGAAAATCCTGTTGTAAGTCCCTTTCATTTAATTGTTCGCCTTTTTTTTTTTCTCTTCCTTTTGAGTTGTTTGGAAAACAAGGGGAAAAGAGATAAAAAGAAATAATCGAACTACATCTTATTATTGGGTTTGAGATCATCCTATCTGTCATGGTGCAAACATAGGCTGCTATCAACATTTTCCTTTTCCTTTTACTTGAATAGAAGTGT